CTTCAAGGAAAGCCTCTTCGGAAAAAAAAGGAGCCAAGGATGAAATCGAACCGCTCAGTAGTCATCTAATGACAATGCAGGGGCTGTTCATACACAGCGTTGGAGCTTGCAGCATCCCATAATCGACAATTCTGCTCCATTTAGGTCGAAATGGGCTTCCCACTTTCATGACTACAAAATGTTCCAAGGCCATGGCATTAACAATGGCTGTTTTCGCACACCGGTAAGCAAAATCAGTGCGTTGATGTGGGTCACGAGGGTTTAACAGAGATATGATGCGTGTATGATTTTACAGTATTAGTATTTTAAAGCTTTCCTAAGTTGCGTAATGTCCTTTTTACATAGCCTGAAAAGGGCCGTCCTCCCGTCGTCCATATAACGCGTATATTATATCAACTTTCAACAAACTACGTCAATCAAAATATACTTTATGTGGGTCTGAGTATGGTCACTTTAATTATAACTACGCAATGTCTTTTAAAACAATGCTCACTTTTGTGTTTCGTGTTTTTCATGTTTCCATCGCTAACTATTAGGAGAAAAAATAAATTCATTCACATTACAAGCCCACCAGCGGCCGAGCGGTAAAGTCGCTGAACACTGGTAGTTCGGTCCGAGGTTCGAATCCCGCGAACCGGGCTGGCTGCATGGGCGTTTTCGTGGTTTTCCCCATGTGTAACGTGTATACGAGCCAGTTTCCCCTTAGAAAGTCCTCCACGAAGGCATCCCTCCTCTTAGGCAGATAGCCCTCGAGGCTTTGCCATACTCACAAACACACATTCACATTACAAAACAAAAAATACGTTTAAACTTATTTTCGTTTTGATAGTGAAACATTTCTGGCTTTCCAATTTAATTTCAGAGTTTCAGTTCAGACACCCGCTTTTCATATCATTATCATAGTATGTTTCTCACTGCTTTAAAACGTTGATTTTTCACTTAGTATATTAATTGTACCTTATTTATAACTATTTCGCAATGAATTATAAATACAGATTTGATTGCATGTGACAAATTAAATTTAATAATTTATGGTAAAACCCTTCCCATCGATAACAGTATTTTTAATTTGCTTAAAAATGCAATTTTGATATAGAGCAAACTCTTCTTTTCCAAGCATATTAGGTAAGAGAAAATTTTTAACTTCAGCTGCGAAATAAATTAGTTCTGAATTATGTCCAGTTTTATAGGAAGTATTTTGCTGCGGATCAGTGTGTTACTGAAAAGCAAAGTTAGAAAGTTGTAGATACTCCAAAATTAACTTTATTAATTAACAAATGTAGCTATGATTATTCCCTAAATAGAAGAGACTTTTAAGAAGTTACAGAACAATAATCAAATATTCCTGCAAACGTACCTATGATATTCATTCAAATGCATTAATAAAGGTTTTATATAGCATACTAAACATATAATTCTTAAAATGACACTGAATAACTCCAAATGTTTTGTAATATAGTAGTTCACAGCCATACTGAAGCTGAAATCATCCAGGCACACGCCACCAGTAAAAATTGAGAAAGGAAGCAAAATTAATGTGTAATATGCGAAATATTCGCAATTTTGTCATTTACATTAGAATGTTATCGTATATTAGAATGGCTCTAGTATATCTCATGAGAAAATACGTGTGGTAGTTAAAGAAGTATATATGACCGCACAAAAATATGTAGAAATATGTAGTATACCACTCATATAAATATATAAACGCTATCCTAAATTTTGCACTATACGTTTAATTATCTTAAATACCTCACAGAAGTTTAAATTTTAGTTACATAGTTTCTCTGTTGCATAGTTTGCTTAGTGGCATTCTCATAAAAATGCGATTAAAGCTGCCGAAGTTTTATAGTAATATATTTACTCATCAGCATAAGATATGGATAAATTTTAGCCGCATAAAAATTGTAACTTCCGTTTCGAAAAAATATGTTTACTACTTTTATTGCTTGTATTTGTCAAATATTTTCTTCTTTGTTTCTGAATTATTAAATTAATTATCTCATAAAATCATAAGCCTCAATAGAAATCGGTGTTTGGATCTGGACATAAGAGAAGGTATGAACTGGCTTATATACGGGGGAATAATTAAAATGAATACTTACATAATATTGGAGGTATTAAGCTTAAAACAATATCGATGAGAACATAACCTCCATCTGACGGTTTCTGACCATCCTATACAAAGAAACAAATGCTTAATTTTCAAATCATTGATTTCGATGTTAGAAGTAAAATTTATAAATGTCAATTTTAATAATTTTAAAACTTACCCAGAATAACATAAGAACTGCTGCTAAAAGCACAAAACAATAACAGACCATATAACGAAATGCTCCAAAAGTGGCTGCAAGCGTTGCTCTTCCTTCTCTAGCGAAAACGCAGAAAAATGCAATGATCACATAAAGTATAATTTTATTGTTCTTTATTTACATAAACTCTGACTGTTAAATTAAATAATTTATTTCTTAAATAATCTATTTATTAATAAGCAGAGTAACTTTACAAAAAATCCTAGTAAATTTATGAATAAAGAACCGTCGATTTCGTTTAACATTTCCTTTTAATCGTATTTAGTACTCTTTCCTTCTTCTTCCTGTACTCTCAGTCAGTGTTCGAACAACTTCATAATGTGATAACTCAGATGGAAGCCTTTTTGTCTCAAAAATATTCCTCCAAGTTTTATCATGATTCTGTTTCAGCCTAATTTCAGTTTCATAAAATCTTTAGCAGAATGAGGTATTATTGGAGGAGTTAAGACAACAAGAATCAGAGTAATATTCATACATTTCCAGGACTAGTTCTGAGTAAGACGTCATCCTCAACTGCAGAAGTGCAAACAATGAAACAAAAGCCTGTGCTCAGGCAATATGAATATGAGAAAGGCTGTCCAGCTACTGGCGTCATCTGTTGCTGAAAAATAGACACAATTCTGAAATAATTTTCTTAAAAGCTGAGGGTATATTGGAATTAGGATCTTTAACCAGAACTTTTTTCATATAAAACGCTTCTGAAAAATCTAATTTGCCAATGGAAGATATTTTTTGAAAACTTTTGGATGAAGAAATTGAAAACTGGGAAATTTTGACCAATAGTATTGGACAACAGAGGATTTGTGTGTTTCTTTTTTCCTAACATATAATTCATATAACTTATATTCATTTACATATTACATATTACGAAGTTTTAAGGCTCCCTTAATTTGATTAATGTAAATTAAATAAAATTGGCGAGTAAACATGTATATACCAAGAAGCTCAAAAAGAGTCTTTAGTACGAAGGGGTCTTTAATTAGCCCTTAGCTAAATATTTAGTTCCTAGATTTTCTTTGTTACACCATAAAAAATTCAATAGAGTTTAAATAAATTAATAATTATTTCTTCTAGCAATTTCATCGTGGTTTCTTTTCATGTCAAATTATTATTCATTTACGTTCCAGTGGAATGTGCAAAATGTGAATATCCAGAAACCAAACTTCAGGAATTTCATTACTCATATATCGATATTGATTTCCCTTACTCAACTTTGTCTTAAATAAACATGTTTTGTTTTTCAAAATAAGTATTGCAATCTGACTCAGGAATTAGCAATGGGAAGCCGTCTTAGTCGTGTCCTTGTTGATACCTAAGTACATTGTTATGAATCCAAGTTATTTGAAATTTTAAGCCTTCATGTGGGATTCCGCTACGCTGACAATACCTTTACTTTTTTTGACGCTAATAAAGATGACTTCAATAAAGTTCTTTCAGTTATGAATTTTATTGATCCTGCTATTCAGTTCAATTTTGAAACTGAGATATCCAATTTGCTTCTGCTCCTCGACATCTTGAGTACAAGCAGTATATCCAACTTCAGTATTACTTTTATCGTAAATCTTCTTCTGTTTGCTTTCCACCACATTTCATAGCATGTCATTCCACTAAATAGATTTTAGCTTCCTTATAGTCCTTCATTTTTCCAGCACTTCGAGTCTATACTGTTCCAGATTGTCTCTTAATCAAGAATTAAACTACTTAAAAGAAGTTAATATTCACAAAGGCTTTTTACCTAACATTCTTGACCAAGCGGTTAAAAGATTCTCATCTCAATTCATTAAAATGAATTCTCTAGTTTTGAAAGGCTACAAGAGCTCTGTAATTATTCTTTTCTTTCCATCAATTAGCTGTAAAATTGTACGTATTTTACAAGAATTCAACTTAGGGTCTTTTTCTCTACTATCAGTAAAATTTCCATATCGTGGTGATGGTTTAGATGAAAAAGTGTTAAAAACACTAATAGTATAGTGGTTTCGCTTACCCAAGGTAGGTTCCTGGTCTTTGGCGTGTCATGGTGAGCTGTCCAGTACAAAAGAAAGTGACAAAATCTAGTTACATTTAAAAAGATTATTTATTCATTACGCCATGCTAGAATGTGCTCCATTCTGATTATTCGAAGATCGCCACTCTAGAACCCTTCTTCCTATTCCTGGAGCTAAAAAAACGGTATTCCTCTGCACCGAATGCAGCTTCCACAGCTTTCGTAACGACAGCCAACATCATCTCCAATACGGACGCGGACGAAAATCCAAACCCGCAAATAGCAAATTCCAGAAGTAAAAAGAAAGGGCATAGCACGTATTAAATGAAGGTGTGAATAATAACAGCAGCTATGACTGCAGCTAGAACAACCAATTATAATATTCTTTTCACTTTTTATACGAAATGAACTGAAATGACTCCTTGTCTGATGAAATTGCTTAGTCATGCTACAACAAATCTTTAGGCAAAAACTTTCACCAAAAGAAACATGAAATCTCATAACTGTTTTCATAAGTTTGTAATAATTCCAGACTTAAATTTAACGTACCACGTCATATCCCAGTCCCATACTTAAAGGCCCTATTTCGGATATGAACTCCAGGGGTATAAGGGTTCCTTGCTAATGTTGTTTAATTTACAGTGGTAAAATTAAGACAACTTTAATATTTCGCTCTAACATGAGGCATAGATTAGGAACAAAGAAAAACATAAACCCTCTGTTTCACAGCACTATTGGTCAGAAAATCGCTTTTTCCATTTTTCTGCATCTAAAATTACTCAGAAAGTATCTTCCATTGGCGAATTAGATATTTTGAGGCGCTGCGCATACAAAAAAATATTTCAAATATACCCTTACCCTCAACGTTTAAAGAAGTTATTTCGTTTATAGTTTTTACAGTTTTTATCAATAAACGGCTCTAGTAGCTTGACTTCCTTCTTTGCACTGCTATTGCGTGAGGCTTCTATTTCATTCTTTGCACTTCTGGAGCTGAAGAAGAAGGTTCTGTATTTAAACCTTCGAAACTACGAATAAAGAGCGGAATGCCTAGCTTTTATTCATAGACAATTATAAAATTCTCTCTGATTGTAGTTTGCACATGACAGACAAGCCTAAATAGATTTGCACATGACAGACAAACCTAAATAGATTTTCACATGACAGACAAACCTAAATAGATAGACAGACCATAAAATTATGGGAATACAACAAGTATCGTAAACAGAAATAACTTTAGAAAATTTGACAATAGCATTCTACTGTTGTGACTACAAAATCACAAATTTCACCCTTTGGAAGCTACAACCATTGCTTTAAATAATTTGCTTTCAAATTTATACCTTTTGAAAACTTTGCAAAGTTTTTTCAACAGATGCCACATTATGAAATAAGAGACCTTTACTCAAATCTTACCAGTTTTTTTTTTCCATAGCATGTCATTTGACTAAATAGATTTTAGCTTCATTATAGTCCTTCATTTTTCCAGCACTCCAAGTCTACTGCTCCAGATTGTCTCTTAATCAAGAATTATCAAGGATCTTTTAAAAAAAAAATTTTCAATATGTCGATATACCTCTGTTTCTTCTGGTCAATCCTTTTAGCTTCCATATGATGCGGTGTTAAAATCTACTGCAATGGACTGAGTCTAGCTCTGCAGTCAGTATAAAGTAAGAAATAATGAATTATTTCACCTAATGTTTACACGGAATTTCTTTAATTGCTTAAATTTTTGTCATCTAATTTTATTCCAAAAACCCCGTTACTTAGAACAAACTTTTCACGAGATTTCACAAACTTCTGCTGTGAGAATATTCATTAGATGATAAAGGCTTTTATAGTTTAAAATAGTCTTTTAGCTGGAGGTAAAAAATAACGTGAACTTAATTATCTTACCTTATAACTGTAGGTATGCATTGAATGTTCTGTTGCGTAGATGTGAAAGGTGATGCAACAGAGGCCTCCGCAACAGACAGCGAAACACCAGCATGTGCTGTCTTTAGCGCACCGCAGTCATTCGCACCATCACCACACATACCTACTTGATGCCTAGAATAACAAATTATCATTAAAAATTGCTATAAATTATTGCATTATACATAACCGTAAATGCATCCAAAAATGATAAATTGCATCGTTAGCTGGATACCAAATGAGAAGACCGTTCTATAATATAGCTTCTCTTCTTTTAGAACTCGTCCTGTTACCCTTTATTTATAACCCCAGGGCAGTTTGCTTACAAGCATGATTCCTTTGCATGGGACAGTTAGTTTATACGTTGAAAAAATAAATAAATAAATAAAATTAAACAGTTAAAGCTCTATCTACAATATAAATATAGATAAGAGATCAAATGATAGTATACCTTTTATTCAGAAGTAGGCATGAATTACTAAGTGGTTTTCATTACTTTCCCTAATTAAGGTATTTTGCTTACACCATCAAATGTACTTCAAATCGCATTAGTATAATGTAATACTTGTAATACAGAAAAATATCTGTTTCACCAACGCTTTGCATAAACTTATAGTTATATTATCATTCTGGTAATAATAACTTTGTATTCTATATTATTAGCAATATCCCAACAACGAAAACTTGATAATTCGTGTAGTGTCATTCCATTTGAATAACAAATCGTCAAAACATGTAACTATGTATGCCTCACCCCTCCCGGGGGTCGATTGAGCGGCAACTCGCGGATTCTGACTAGGACCTGTACCTAGTACGTTTCAAATTTTCATTTATTTTATCATTTACGGTTTTTATTAGTCATTTATATAAACCACTAAATTATTGTCTAATGTAGCTATATCTGCTAATGATTTTAGTCGGATTAGGACTGCATTTACTTCCAAGGACGTTTTATTCTTTACAAACTCCTTCGCGTCTCTATCTCAACGATATAATTTTGGACTAGTAGTTAAGCCTTTTGCGCATTATTTCATATTTTCTTTCAAATCTGTCACAGAATATATCTCGAGAATCAGGTAAAACGGCGCAAGTTGTTATAGGTTTAACGAAGATTCAAATTCAAGCAGAAAGCCTTTGGTTGTTAACCCTGGACAGTTGTTCTGAGACAATTTCTTGCAAGTGATGTGAATTCCTTAAATCGGTTTAGCTTTGTAAATTTTAATTGCTTTGTGAAAGCATGTGGTATGAGCCAAAGCTTAGTGGACGTGTATAATTTTGTATTTAATCTGATTGAAGTACTTGCTCAAGGCTTTCCCACAAGTAGCTTTTTTATGCTATTGAAAAACTTGTATAACCATCATAACTCATCAGATAATTCATCAGGAAAGTATATAAGCTTCATTATCAGTTTATGTTGCTTTACTTAAAAGTTAAGTTGGGACGAATTCATCTATTTTTAAGGTTCTAAAGTCGAAAGTAGTATAAAACTGTGTTTATTTCTAAACTGTAGTGAAGTTTCTTAAGCACTTACGTGTTAATGCAACCACCTTGGCATAATTTGGAAATTTTGTACAGATGAAAAGGTAAAAATAACTTACAAGTTGATGACTTTTGCAGCATTTTTAAAAACGATTCTCAAACTAGTATTTATCTAAGTTGACAAACATTGTCAACATATGAAAAGACAATATATTTTAGCAATTTTAAACACAAATTTTAGTTGTTAAATAATGATTTCGTGATACATTAAAAAAATTAAACTTTTGCATTCATCTCCAAATCTTTCTGCAATTTATTTGTGACATGCTTTTCCCCAAGCATACAGCGATCTCTTTTCGCTTAAAAAGTCACAGCATCGCACAGACTCATCGAGAATACCTTGGCAACATCAGTCATCTATCAAACATCATCTCTTCATTATTCCCTGTAGGTATTTTGATGCAAAATTCTGAATTCCCTTGAAAATTTTATCGAAGTTCTTTTCATTTCTGGGAAATTCCACAAGCGCATATTTTGAAATTTAAGGCAAAACATATCACTTTTTAGTTATCAAAATCCTTGGAACTGTTTTTTTCCTTTTTTGAAAAATTCAGAAGCATATATTTTGAAGCTAAGTTTAAGACAAAAATAACACAGTTTAATTATTAAAACCATTTGATTTTGGAATACAACATAAAGAATGCATATGAAAATGGAGACGTTGCTTGTCTAAAGGGTTATTAAAAGAATGATTTCCTGAAGAGTGGTTATGCGCATGGTTGCCAGAGTTTGGCCCATTCTAAAAATTTGGTGACTTCTACTAAGGTGGTTGATATAACACGTAAATACCGTTTTTTAAAGGAATTCACCATTTGGTCGAATATTAAAATTTTTATTTTGATTTACCATATACTAACAAAATTTCAAGCGTGAGGACTCTACACTTTTCGCTCGATATTTATTTGGTGAGTAGCAATGGAAAGGCATTAAAATACAAATACTTAGTATCTTAAAATAAATTAATTACATCCACAGATTTTAAGCTGCAGATGTTATTTTTTAAATAAGTAATTGGTAGAACAAAGCATATATGGTTTGAAAACGCTTTAGGGTAAACAACGTAGCGTTTCTATTGCGTGTTCAGTTAATTTTTCCTGGTGTAATATCAGTCAGTTCACAAAATAGCTCTATTAAAGAAATGATCATAAATCTAGATATTTTAGAAATGATTATTTTTTTCACTTAAGTCTTTTCATCTATACTTCCATTACAGAGTTCATATCATCCATATGTAGCATAGAAGAATGGATTTAAAAATAGTACGCAGTAAATATGCAGACAAAGATTTACAATGTTAGTAATTAAAACAATATACAATGTTAGTAATTAAAACTATTCCGTCATGAAGGAAACGTACCAAAAAAAAAAAAAAAAAAAAACCTAAGAATTACATGAAAGGTAGAATATTCCGGGATGTGAGAATGATTAGCATTTCACGACATGAAGGCGTTACAGGCAAGAGTAATGAAACCAAGAGACAGGACAAAAAAAAATTTAAAAGTCAATCGAAAATTATGCTAACGTTTGCTTTCTGTGTAGGTCGTGTTATGCTTCTTTTAAAGAGAAAGAACTCACAGCAGCACGTCTTAGAAGCCTGGCGGGATTGTCAGTTATCATGTCACAGGATTGCTGCCCGTATTGTTCTAGATTAAATGTCCGTGAAGAAAATTTGCAGTCGATGGGCTCAGACCAAACAGAGCACCATGAGGAATATTAACAATGCCTCTCATCAGTATCTGAGATGACAAACAATTTGTTCCCATCACTGTTAGAAATCGTATTATAACAACATCACGCACACTACGGAAACTGACCCTTTTCGACATCATAAAGTATCCGCTACAATGTCTGCAACGTGCTGAGTATCAGCAATAACTTACTACTTTAGCTTCCGTTAATACTACAACACAATAATCCTCCCTTACAGTGGTGAATTCAGTGACGCATGGTCGTATCAATGACTAATCATCTCTTCTGATAATCGCACTTTTATTTACTGCAACAAGATGGCCCTACCCATATATGGAGACGTAGGAGAAACCGAATGTTGGAAACTTGTATTCTTCATCGTTTTACCGGCACAGCAACTGGACTGATGGCATGAAGTACTACTGGGTACACATCCCATTACCTGAAGTTCGCGCGGCAAGTAGTTTGAACAGCCACTGTTATATTTCCGAAGTATTAATGCTTGCAGCTATACTTTATCTTCCAGGCATCCGTCGCCTTCAAAACAGCATGCTGACTTTGCTGTCTTGTGTTTCTTTAATTCACAAAGTATTAGGTAACTTCCTTGTCCAGTGCGTTCTTCAGGTCTCTCACCAACTGAAAATGCCTGGCTAATCGTTACAAAGAAACTGGCACGACAACATCACACATTAGTCCGATAGAAGAAGTCTTACGTATAACTGGAGGCGAAAGGACTGCAGTACTCATAGCTGCGATCTAAATTTCTTTTCCAGTTCAGCCGAGCCCTGTAACAGCTGCTATTGTTGCCAGTGGTAAATGCTTGGGGAATCATTTCAGCTTGCCTTTCTAATATATTTGTAAACTTAGTCTGAAACGAAGCAACTGCTTATCATCTTAGCAGATTTTAACGGCCAGTCTAACAGAAAAATATACACGAATTTTTCCCATTCTGCTTTATACGTTAATATTCTTATTAATTATAACAAATACTCAAATCTAAAGGAGTATTAAGATTATATGGATTTATTCACATTACCGTTATTCTATGGCACTTTTCCTGAATGTTTTTAAATTTTCATTTGTTTTCTTTCCTCAAAGAAATACAAATATTGAAGTCAAGGACATAAATTCATAAACTAAACAGTTAGTTAACTTACCCAAGATTCTGTAGCGTTTCTATGAGATAAAGTTTGTGCTCTGGTAACATTCTTGCAAAAATGGTACCTTTCAGCACAACCTAAAATAAAAAGCTTGTTAATATTACACACAGCTAATATACGTAAATTTTTAATTGAATTTCTTCAAATACAATTTTCTAAATATCATGTCTATTAAATTATATTAGTTTCCCAGGTAAGAGCAGTGAAAAATTAAATTGGATTCTATTTAGTTGTTTTTATTCATAAATGCAGATACTTCATAAATACTAAATGATAACACTTAGATTAAATATTTGATGATATTACTTTAATAAAATTATTCCAAATTGAACAATCAGTTTTAAATTAATTAGTGTTTCAATTTTGCATTGAAGAATATTCCTGTTAAATTTGGATGCACATTACGAATTTCTCAAATTTGAAAATATGGTGCTCGAAATGAGTTTTATGAGAATGAAATTCATGAATTTCATGAATAAATGCTAAAAAAAGATGCTGCGAAGAATCGCAGAAAAACAAATTGTCACATATTTTTGTCAGAAATACTAGTTACGAAAAAATAGAATCCTTATCAAAAATCTGAATAAAAAATTAAACATTCGAGCCATTATTCATGCAATTAATATGAAATTTTTCATATTGAAAAACATTTTACGGCAGCTTAGTGTACTATGTGTGTAATGGTTCTTAAAAGGGGTTATCATAATATGCGAAGATATTATTTAAACATAATGCTGTATTGTAAAATAAAATCAATATTTAAATAACATTACAATTCATTTAAACAAATTCTAATGATAGTTTTTTAAATCTTAAAAGTATCTCTGACAAGGAATGCATCGAAATTATAAATAAAAATCTTTTTTTTTTTTTTTTTTTTTTTTCGTACAGTATTTATTTTATTCATTTATTTTAATGCATTAGTGATTTTATCTAAAAATTGTTCAAACAAGTGGAACTACCTCTATTTTTGCAAACCTACATTAGATGGAGCCACAATGAAAAGTCGGCATATGAAGTGATTCGAAGCACAAAAATTTCCTGGAAACGATTAATTAATAGCTAACTAGTGAGCTCAAAGCAAAACCATTTTAAGCGAATATTCTAAATAACAAAAATAATTACAATTTATTCATCAGTTAAAAAATAAATAAATAAAATGCGTATATAAACTAAAATATATCAAAAAGACAATATCAAACAAAACTATATCAATATAAAATTATTAAAACTAAATTGTTTAACTTTTTACTAACAGTCAAAATACTTTAACTATCCAAGATTTTTACAATATAGAAAAACAGTTACATAATGATGCCTGAATAGAACTCGAATTTTCACTTCGTCATATTATTTACAACAGCTTTATCGAGATTTTAGTGTTTCGTTTCCCATATCAGCATCATCAGGATCAACCGCAAAGAAGATATTCTGAGCATGCTCAGTTGTGATTGAATACTAACTCAAGTTATTTTGCAATTATATTCTTAAATTCTGATGTAATATTAAGTTTAAACAAGATAAAAGATGCCAAGAAACTCCCGTTTGTTGACGCATTCAGTCGCGTTTTTATATATTACACACACACATATATTAGCTTTCTCTGTGGGACAAAAAAGAAAAAAAAAAAGTGCAGTCCGTCAGCTATTTCTTACATTCGGCGCGCATGCATTTGAGTTTTAGACCACTGATCTACAGTTATTAAAAGGAGGGGAAGGGGAGAACTAACATATATATTTTTAATAAAAGTTTGATTCACACAATTTTATTTATAAACTTTCCAATATTTTAGATGTTATAAAAAGGGTTCGTTTTTACTTCCTTGTACAAAAGGAATTGTAAAAAGGAAGTATTGTAATCGCGAAAAGTTTCAGGCAGCATATTTTCAACGAAATATCCATTTGACCGTTCGAATGCAATTTAACGATGTTTTTGCGTGATATCTGTACGTAAGGACAGAAAAAATACTCTTTTCCTTCAAAAAAATTATAAAACTGCTTTAAAATTAATTCTGAAGAGAATTTTTCGGGGCCTCTGTACGAATGTATGTACGTACGTGAGTGCGTACGTACCTATCTCGCATAACTCAAAAACGAGTAGCCTCAGAACGTTGAAATTTTGTATATAGGACTGCTATAACATGTAGATGTGCACCTCGTATTTTGGTTGCACTCGGCCACACCAAACGTATATAAATATATTTATATATATATCCACTCTATTACCCGGCTCAGTGATCTCAGTTTCTTTACTCTTATATGTTGTAAATTGTATATTTTTGCTTTAAAAATGATTGAATTATGTTTGTTTTTGTCTTCCGGTAAGGATTTTATGCCTTTGGTAAATCTGTGTGCAATATTTTTAGAATTATCAGCAATTTTTAAAGTTGTTTAATTGCCGCTAAGCCTGTTTTTAATGGCGGCCATTGATGTTTACATTTGAAACAGGAGACTAGTGGATTTGTTGCCAATCTAGAGAAACTTAGCTTCGCAACAACAAAGATAACGCATTCATTATTATTGCCATTAAATCATGCTTTTCTTTTCTGGAATTTTTTTCGAGGAAATAAGCTTTTGAGATTTACTTCGTAATTTTTAATATAGATATTTTGAGTTTTTATGTATTTTTGCCTTCTCGCGAAGTGAGAATGAATTAATTAAATGAGAAATACTCAATCGTCTGTGAAAAAAAACTGGTTTCTTTTTTGTTTTGTTTGCTTAATTTCTTTTATACATAGTTCTAGCTTATAGCTATAGTGTTTGAATAGAACATGTGGCAACGATTAGATAATTCTTTAAATGATAACATTTTGTGCATTCTGAGTTATAATATGAATGAATATATACTGTTAAGTAAACCTAGCGCCAGAGTGTCGCTATGGTAAACAAAGTGAATTTTAAAGAATGCATTTATTCTATTGTGGTTTATGCGCTGTCGGCGAAGTAGGTTTAATTCAATCTAATAAGTTTAAATAAAATGCTAGAAAAAATGCGTATAATTTAATATTCCGTACAAGAAAGTCATGTGGTGTACACATCAGATTTTTTTAATTTTTAATTTTTTAACATTTTTCGAATATTTTTCTGAAATCATATTTTTGGCCTAAGTAAATCATAGTGTTCTTATTAGCATGATTTCTTTTTGCATGTGTACCTATTGTGCTCTCTGTCTGCCAGTCTATAAGTTGTCCAGTTATTTGTTTCTTTCTTAAAAAGTAATAAATAATAATAATGATAAAATAACCTTAGATTGGTGCAGATTTCGGATAAAATTAAGAAGGAAATTTTATATGCTACATTTTCCGTGCTTTCTCATAATTCTATAGTTTACTTGGCATGTTTCTTTACTCTTTAGATTTATTCAATTTATCTCCGATACATACCTCGATAAAAGGGAAATCTTATAAAAAAAATCTGATTCTAAAAAAGCAGCTAAACCTGACAGGAAAACAACGGATGCTAGGAATGAAGCTTGAATTTTCACCTTTCTTAAACTTTGTTGACCTATAAATCGAGGGGAGGGGGGGAAGGAGAGACAATTCATAATTTTTCCTGCAAAAACATCCTGTTATCCGCTTTTCCCCTTAAAAGCATTTTTAAGCACCTGTTTATATAGCTTAATATTTAATGCAGCTTGGGAAAAACCATCATTGCAAAAAATCTATGATTTGTTCTTTTTTCTTGGAATGCTGCAAATTGTGAGCGGGAGCCCAGAATTTTTATTCTCGTAAGGGATAGTAGTCTTGAAATAAGATTTTGCCGCCTTGTTTCACTTTTCATTAGTTCTGCGCCACTCTGCGTGATTAAATCGACAAGACACTTAATTCATTCAAGTTCTGTTCCTGACGACTTGACATTCGTCTACTTCAGGTTTTTGTGTTCTCACTACGTGCTAAGTAAATACAGATGACGTAATACATGATAGAAAGCTCTCTATGAAGACTCATTCGTCCTAAGCATATGGTCTACTCCGTTTTACAGTAATTAAACAGCCAATAAAGCAATCTGCCAATAGATGTGGTAATTAAAAAACACGTACGTTATTGCTGTACACTTTTTATTACAGATGTCAGCTGCCAAAGGAAATAATTAATCTACTCAAATAACGAAATTCGAATCAGAAGGTCATTTTTTGTAACATAGTTTATTCACTCCATCTTATGACACAACATGTTTAAACCATACTATTCTTTAAAACTCTTGCTCAAGCACATAACTTTAAATTTTCTCAACATTCTCAAAACTAAAATTATTCTTACATTTATAAAGATTCGGCCCAAATTTTATACTCACGTTTTTGTAAACATCTGTACATTTTCCCTCAGATGAGTGGGCAAACGCTAAATGATATTTTTAGAATTAAAAAACGTCAACGGAGGTTGCCCAAACGATTTTAATAAAGTTTTCACTGAACCAGAGTTTAATTACTCTTATTCAAACTACACGTTCTTAACTTACTCTGACACCCTCTCGCCTAAGTTGACATTTAACCTCAAAATGTTGATTTTCTTAATGAAGTTAAAATGCTAATAATGGCATCTGAATCATACACTTTATATAGGTACAATAGTTTAAACAAGTAATTTACAAAATGTATAAAAATGGGTATTAATATTGAATTCAGAGTTTCAGGTTTCGGGTATCTTAACTACGCTTCCGCTTCTGATAGCCACTAACACGGGACTTGGAGTTTCACAGTTGGTATTTTAGACACATCTTCCACCGAAAAAAGTCGATAGGATTAGAGCCAGCTATTTGTAATGGTTGCTCATCTCGCTCGTTGCTTCATCTTTAGCTGGTATGATCTCGATAATTTTTCCAAGAGTCAAACTGATCCTTTTAGTGCTGTCGTTTTCAATCAAAACAATACCATCAATAAATTTTTTAGATGATCTTTTAGTCTCTGATTTTTAATAAGAGCTCTTAGCTATTCGATTCGAAATCTTTTCCTCAAGTTGTCTTGTCTGTATCTTGCCCTTTTGTTTAAGCTATTATGGTCTACCACATCACAATTTGGAATTCCATATGTTTAGATTTTTCGCAAACACATTGCAGGGCTCAAAGGTACAAGTTCATCCTTCTTCGTGACGTAAGTCAACGAACAAGAACTGACAACAGGGCACTGTTGTCAATTCCTCCCTCGTCTATCGCCCTTATAAGGCAGTACGTGAGTTAAATTCCCACTTTATTTGGTGAATAAATGAATCAACAGTAGAAAGATTTCAATTTAAACTTTGAAACAAATTTGAAGTTCCAATAAAGTTTGTGCAATTATCTCAATGGATAATTTTGCATCTTTCTCTTCGAGCTATGAATTCTACGTAGAGCTAATAAGAAGGTTTCTGTTGAGAATGAAGTTACTAACTCTGGGTGTATGAGTTGACAGCGCACACAAGTAAATAGGCTAATCGCTAGTTTCTGATTTTCTTTTAAGTGTACTCGGCCAGAAAGGTCTATTCTACAGCCTTCGAAAACAGAAGCTTCCCCCTATTCTTTGATAATTCTGCATTGACATTGCCCAGTGTCTTAGAAGAATACCTTTTACATACTACACACTTCGAAACAAAAGATCGTTTTATTCTTCTACCATCAAGAATCCAGAATCTCTCGCTTAGTATGTTTGGAAAATCTGAATTCCTAAATTAGAATGTTCTATATGATGATAAAATATTAATCTTTTAACGACCTCATGTTGTGATGGAAGAATTGTTGGCATTTTAAAGTCTTCACTATTATTAAATTAGTCTTTAGCTTGATAATACTATTTTCATCCTTTAAAGTTCTCAAATCTTTGAACTTCTTATATTGTTTCATTAAGAAAGCATTCGGCTTGAATCAGTTAGATGACTTCATTTTCAGCTTCTAAAATTTCTTTGGAGGGTCGAGGTGTTTATTATTCCCGGCATGTTTTGGGATGCGACAGGTTTTCAAAACCTAATAATCTAGACAATGCGATTAACAGTTTTTCTATACAATTTGAAAAATACTAATAATATCAGTTTATGGTATTACTATCAGAAACCGCTGTCAGACAATTTGTAACTGATTTGAAGTCACACGTTTTCTGCTTTCTGGCACTTTCTTCTTCATCCGTATATGAATTAGCATTTGGTCATTCATCACAATGGAAATATAACCAAATGAATAAGATTTCTGATCTATTTTAAAACGTCGATTTTGGTTTCAGAATCTACTTCATTATCACACGTTAACTTTATATCTTCCAAATTTTCTGAAGCAACAACTTAGACTTCGAAGACACAGGATGTTTTAGACCTATCTGGTCAAATATTTTATGTGCAGCAGAAAGGATTGTTTTTTAGTAATTTCTTCCAGGCACAGCTCTTTCAAGTTGCCTGTATTTATATGTAGATTGTCAGACATTTTATTCCAAACCAAACCCAATACGTTTCTTGCAACTGAGTAAGAGCATTACGATCTATATATTCTCACCTTCCGATTTCAAACTTTTAGTCTGCCGTTTCTTGAATTGAAACATTGATGAGTATCCTGATTTGATTTGCTCTTGACACCAGTATACAACTTTAAATTTAGGAACTTTTAACAATTAAGTATGGCTCTCAGCATTTTCAAAACTTACTTACTCAGAAATAAATGAAGGCGTTTCTAGACACTCGCGGTTTATTTAGACCTTAAAAAAATTCTCATTACAGGAATACAGTCCTATTCATAAAATTGCAGCAAAATAAAAAATGTAGTATTTCTTACTTTGTCCAATAACTGGCTGTCATGAAGACGTATTAAATTAAACGTTACTCCCTCCATCGCTATGTGATACCTTCCTTCACACATTGCAGGAACACATATTTCCTGAAACAACATAATATTTTATACAAGGAATAAGAACACATAAAAGCTTATATATTTACGCCAATTTAGTTAAGAAATCAAGTGGCGCATCGGTATAGACCATGAAATCAATATTCTGATATTTATAATTCCATTTAATTACTGAACTTTACCAAAATAAGAAAAATAATGTAATAATTTAGTATTGAGTTTCGCATATATATTTGAAAAGGCACTGTAAATAAAAATAGTTTAAAAAATTTAAAAAATTTAATAATTTGTACAGATTATGTTAATTTTATTAACAGTTAAATTTTAAGTTAACGTTCCTTTCCTGTCAAATTCTTAAGTTCAATTTACTACTTCCGGACAGAACGTACTCGTAGTTTTGAATCACTCTGAATATTTAATGAGGAGGAGCGGTATTTAAACCGCGAAGTCTGTTTGCTGAGTTAGAGAGAATCAAGAGTTTTTTATTTGCGCGCGTCTGCCTTTTGTCTACTCTCTCTCAAAGCTGTTATTACGCTCGGGCATACTCAGGCCCTTGATTAAGCCTCGTAGTCAAATAGAGTTAAGGGTCCAACTCGATAGATCTTAAAAGCTTCGGCTAGCTCTTTATTGATCGTATTTTTATTTATTTCTTAGTCTCTTAAGTTCAAGCCAGTGTCGGCTTTTATTGTACACTCCAAGACGGAGTTTTGTTAAATCTTATTGGAATAATAAAGGGTTAGTTAACCTTCCATCTTGTTTTTTTCTTATTACACGAACTTAAGCAATTATTTGCTAACTAGTTCTTAAGGTTTTGACTGCAATTACACAGTGTTAAACCTTACAAATTTAAAAATGTATACAAAACAGAATGCAAAACAGAATCTGTTTTGTATTCTCCTTATTCGAGCTATCCTAATAAGTTTAAATTTAAAAGCCGGTTATTTTTATTAGCATAGGCCATTTAAAGTTTAACATGAACAGCTTGTTTTGCAATTCATGTATTGGTGTAATGTTTAAAAAGCTCTTGTATGAAATGTGTATTATTAGACACAGATTATCAAATCAGAACGAACAGAATCAAACAGAAACATAAATCTGTATTATATTAAATCTGTATTATTAGATTTGGCTAATAACTCAATTATCAACCGATAATTATATTACTTATGCGTTAGCCAGAACGTTAAACTCACATCAACCATCCCATTCTGCACCATATTAAGCTTCTCGCTGAATCCTGGCAACTTTGCATAAGTATATTGCACTTGCAAGCGGTAGCCAGTATCTGTCGTAGAAGAATTTCTGGGAACAAGAGTCGCTTCTACAGCAATAACGGAGTCATACTCTTCTATCATACCACAGTCTCTAGCAACTGTAATGGCTGTCAGCAAGTTGTCCCCTACCAAATGCAAATTCAAAGCATCAGATTTCAAAATACAGCTATATTAAACAAATTAATTAAAATACACATACAAAAGAATTGATTAAAACACACATACAAAAAATAAGCGCTTAAATAAGAAAAATCAATATATATATATATATATTTTTTTTTTCTGAATGGCGGGCACTAGCCATTATAGACGTTGGGCACTACTAAGACCGGATGCGGTGGTTATTTTATTATGGAAGCACCTAAAAGGTGATGCCAGCATTGGTTCCTATGAAGGAACAGGCAGGTTACATCCATGCCTTTTTCGGGATTCGAAATCGTGCCCTTCCATCTTCCCTTTGGTACAGCAGTCAGTGTCACTAACCACTTGCCCTGCTGAGTGGAAGCAATGCAATGATGAGAAGGTATATAAAAAACTATACGGCCAAAAAGAATAGGAAAAATTATCCGAAGATGTACTAGACTATACATCACACACGTGAAAAAGAAAGCCCATGAAACATTTCTTTCAGAATACTTATATTTTGAGAAAATTGCTTCAACACAAATACATATATGAAATTACTGAAAAAGGTTTTCTGATTTGTATTTCAAGTAAGTTGCTGTTCGATTGTTCCCTGTCCTATACTTAAAGCTTTGGTATAATTCTTTGCAAAATATCTCTATTGCTAGTTAGAATTATGTATTAATTAAGACTACTTACTATTATTAATTAGGACATTATTACTTGATAATACTTAGTATTAATAATAATAAATAACGACATGTAATTTTTTTTAAATTTTATCTGCTTTATTATACTTTACTACATAGCCAGTTGATCATACTATCCCACACAAACTTATATCGTATCAGCTATATCTAACCTATAAAATATTTTTACCTGTCACCATGATTGTTCTAATATCTGCATCTTTTAGGATCTTCAGAGTTGGTATTGTCTGTGGTTTCAGCCTGTTCTGAAGAACTAGAAGGCCATGAAACTGCAAACCGCATTCCAGTTGTTCTCTATGAAAATATTAAAAATTTTCCAATTCAAGATTTGAATGCACTGAACATGTTTATTAGCATAAGTCTTTTAAAATGTAACATGAGTCGTTTGTTTTGTAATTCACTTAAAACAATGCTTGTAAAGTTCTTAAGAAGCCATTATACTACACTTAGTATACCAAATGTATCGTATTAAAATGATCTAATAATTTAAGTATCAGTTGTGATTTTTATTTATCCATAAATTTCTACAGAAATTTCCGTGTTCTTTAAAACAGTAGTGACTACTAGGTCACAAAATTAAGAATTTAAAAGTTGCACAGAAAATGTGCTATTTAAATGTCATGTGATAAGTTAGTAAATATAAAAATTAAATTTTGAATGTCGAAGTTAAGCATAGCACTACTGTTATATAATGCTTAATTGCTTGAATTAAAAAGATGAGACACATGTATTAATTATGTATTTTTTTGTTTCTTTTTAATATGTACGAGGTTAAACAACAGTTTATATAAACATAAATTTATGAAAAAGTCTTTGGCTTTTATTTAGTTACCTTGGCATTCTCAGCACATCATCCCATTTTATATCTTCTGGCAGAGCTTTAGATCCTATCCCAAGAACTCTGAAGCCTTGCCGAGTGTAGAATTCCAGAACGTCTTTGAAATTTTCTGGCACTGAAAAATTAGAAAAACGTTAAATTTGTGATTGTTTAAATAAAATGCATATCACTAAATATTGGAGCATAATTTTCAATCATGAAGCTATGCTTAATAAGTATGTGCATGACAGACAATATGGAATTTTTATGAATACTGAACATAATGATTTATGGCGTATCATTTTGTGCTAATGGTTTTATATGTAACCGTACAAAATCCTATTACTTATTATTTAGAAAACATCTAGTGAAATAAATTCCATTGGCAACGAAGAAGAGAATGTCTTGGGTTCGTAATGGATTGAACGCACACAGAACTGGTGAGCGGTTGATAAAATTTATATTCCCTAAAGGAACATCTTGCAGTTCTGGAACTTTTCACAGAAGTACGCTTATAGCTATTCTCAGTATGACAGAGCACAAACAGTAAGAACCACTTCAAACTAAGAACGTTAAACATAAGAAAATATAAAAAATCTCAAATGAATAAATTCGCATAGTGATCTCACAATATTCCGATCTAAACTCTAAACTAAACTAAAAACTAATGTTCTCTCCGGTATTAAATAATTTCCCCCCTGTCCGCTGAAATATTTTCATTAACTTCGATTTCTCGAAATTTCTGAAAGGCATATATTGTTACACTTATATACAGCCGGACACAGTTACAGTTATATAGGTGTTGGAACAAAATGTTGCCAAATGTTCCCAAGTTTGGGAACTTTTGGGAATTTCCGTCCAAATCTGGCGACAAAATTTAATCACGAAACCATCGCCAGATTGGGGCTTAGGACTTGCCCATGTAACCTTCTTTTTCTCGCAAAGCTTCACACTCTTTCATGTTACATTATTCAATAAATAGTACAATTTTCCATAAAATTATTTACCTATATACAAAATTCGCAACACTATTTACGTTTAATGTTTTAGCTTCAGTTCTGAAATATAAAAAGCATCTGAATGTTATTTCACATGCTCAGAGAGTGTTAAAAATTTAATTCAAGGCTAAGTAAAACTTGCATATTATGCAAATAAGTACGGCATGATATTTCTCACATATGTATTGTAAATGCATATTTAAAGTCGAGATTTTCTTTTACGTTTATCTTGCATTGATTTTATGGTTATTTATTTATTTGTAAATTTTATTTAGCTAATGATTTATTTTATATTAATTCTTTTCTATACATTTTATTTTTTCTTTGACCTTCACTGGAACTTAAACTGCCCGAACAGTGAATGAAAAAGTATTTTCCAAAGGCTTTGGCAACGCCATTTGTTCTTAGAGCATTCCGCTGACAGCCATTTTATCCAGTAGACATCGATGAATTAGGTTACTTTTTCTGAAAGATTATGATTAACTGGAAGAAACCACTCTGAGCTTAAAGCAATCTAAAACGTGTTCTTATTGGTTTTAATACTTGTTTTACTTTATAACTTAGCAAGTATGGTAAATAGTATATTAACTTAATTTTTTAATTTGTAACGACTATGTAGCTAATAAACCTTCAATTTTGATCACCTTTTGAGTGTTGCTGAAATTAGGCTGGTATTTTACGAAGACGATAAGTCGTAGCGGCATGATAAGGTTAGGAAACTCAAGATAGACACTCATAAAAAAGCTTATCGTTTTACCTACTTAATGGATTTTCTGAATTATACTATCAGCAGAGTTGATGTTAGAATTTTGCTCGTAAACTTATATTGATTAAATTGCTGCCTACCTGTTTCACTTCGACTGAGAGAGGCCACAAGTTCTGGAGCACCTTTTAGGTAAACTTCAAAGGAACTGCTGCCTTGCGTTTTAGCAACGACACTCATTCTTCTCAGTAGTGATTCGAAAGGAAATTGCCTTACAACCGCAAGTGCAGAAGCTGGCTAAACATGAAAACAGATTGTAATAACATGAAAATTTTAATAAACAAATTAATTGCTGTGGCAAAATGCTTCGGATGATTGAAGTGGAATTTAAATATTTGCAAAGTCAAAATTATTCTGGGACTGTTAATATGAATAATCTGTATACATACAAGAATACAAAAATTTAATGCACATGACTATATATTTTTACACTTCTTTTAGATATGTAGGTATTAAAAACGTTTTAGTCAAATATTTTCTGGAAGAGGTTAAGAAAAAATTCAGTAAAGTGTCAAAAACCTCTGAGGAAAAACGAAATAAGGACAGATTAAAAAGGGGACAAAGAAGAGGTGCCCTCTTGACTTCACAGGGGACGCACGCTTAGCTGTAAGACTAAGAAAGTCAAGTTTATGATTTATGCAATATTTAAGTTTTGATGAGTTTAATAATTCTAATATTTTGGTTGCTTATATTGTTTATTTCAGAGAAATAGACGCAAGAAACTAAAAAACACTATTATATTAATTTAGAAGTCAAACAACAAAAATCAGCTTTATATTTTCAAATTTTCACAAAATTTGAAATTTGAAATTTTTTTTATCTGTGAAAATTTGAAAATAAAACGCTGATTTTTGTTGTTTGACTTCCAAATTAATATTTGTTCGGCGTGTTATTGTATCTTAACGAGTTATACATTAAGAAAGACCAATCACCAAGCCAAAATGTTCTTGAAAATGCGAAATAAGGAAACAAAAAGGAGGCAGGAATCATGGATACATTGTTAACCATAGTCCCACTGCTTATTAAAATCAACGTTTCAAATTTTTTTGAGTTGATTAAGCGGCTGAGTTAAACGGCGAATTCGTGTATTTATCAAACCATGATATCAGTTTTAAACTGTTCAAGTAAAATAATATCTAACAACCAAAAATTAAATTATTTAAGCAAATTTTAAATTAATTGTTAAATTTTTCATAAAAATATTTTTATAATTACGTTCTTAATGAAACTTTATATTTTACGTACAGTTTTTCTATCTGTTATTATTTCATATTATTCAGCAACAGTATTTCAGTTATATTCTCAATCGAGTAAAATTGCTGATAGTTTTTTTTTTTTTTTTATCAGCAACTTTTAAAATTCAAGAATTCTTCTTAAAATTTGCAGTGCTTTTCTAGATTCGACTAATGGTGACATGTTATCTCTTTTTTCCTTATCGCTTTCGCGATCAGTTTCTGTTGTTCATACACGGTGCTCATACATAGTCACTTTTTAAAGACATTGTCATCTAAAAATGAGCCCTTATAATTTAACTCATTGATGGTTGAAACATTTGTAGAGACATTAGGTATTTCGGAAGCAGAAGAGATGAAAAATGAGCAGCGCCTTTGCCGGGAATCGAGCCACGGACCTCTGGAATACGCGCCCAGCGTGCTGACCACTACACTACGAATGCATGCTAAGAAAGCAGGAGAAATGCCTTATATACTCCCCTTTTTAAAGGGCGACTGGGGATTAGGGAACCCAATCGCCAAATCCTCCTCCAAAATTAAATCCTAATTCTCCAAAACTAAAACCAAAACTTTGAGCAGTCCCTCGCCGGGAATCGAGCCACGGACCTCTGGAATATGCATCCAGCGTGCTCACCACTACACTCCGAAGGTCTGCTAAGAAGGCGGGAGAAATACCTTATACAGTAGCTTTAATTTGCGATTCCTTTGAGATTTCTTCTAAATAAAAATCACATTTTTAACTGACTTTGAAAGATTAACCCTTTGCATTGACTGTAATATGCATGGCGAGATATCGACTTACTTATCTCGTTCGAAGTGTTGCATTTTCTCAAAATTCAATTTTGTTCATGATTTACTGAACGTCTTTGCTGTAATGATATTTAAATGCTTTTATAATACCCTTTTAAGTTAAAGGCTGAGTATTAGAAGCTTTATTCGCAGAAAGAAACATTAAAGTTTTCCAGAAAGAGATCACAGATGTATGTGCTGCGCAGTCATCTAATTAGTAATGTTATATTTTCATTCTTCAGTTGGCTGTCCCATTTCGAAAAAAAAAAAAAAAAAAAAAATCAGCAAAAATACAGCAAAATACAAAAGAAGTCTCTGAAGACAGCTTGTTGTTTAGGAATGGAACAACTTCCATGTTTTGGTCCTTCTTTCAGTGTTCCTCACTTTAGGTTGTCAATTTTCGGACAATATAGCGCTAAGCTCTAGTTCTCTTTTTCCTCTCTCAGGCAGGGTTAAGGAAGGAAAATGCCGTACAGAAGGATGACTTTCGTATTCATTACACATAAAAATTTCGGACAACTTTTAATGTACATTATTTCGACTTGATGTGTATTGGAAGAAAGGAATCAAGGTACAAAGTGAGAGAGTCGTTTTTTAATTTAAAAAAATACCATTCATTCATGATATTTTGAGGAAGAAATTTGATGATTAAACCCGTAACACTCGCAGGGTTAATTCCTTTGACTGGTTCCAACAGGCTGAACAGCAGCTAACTTGGTAAGCCAACTGTTCTGTCGATGGCAAAAGGAGAAGAAAGCTTGTTGTTTGAGAATAACAGCTTTTTGTTGTCTCAAATAACAGCTTGTTCTTTGGGAATGCAATAACTTGTGTCTTTGGCATGGGTCACATTCTCCCAAGCAAGGTTCAAAGCTTTTGTGACAATTGATGTGTGGCAAAATGAGCTCTGATTGATAATTTTTCAGCTTAAGGCAAATTTAATTAATTAATGATACGATAAACTCTGGCTGTTATCGTTTGTTCATTGAAGAAAACGATCCTAAAGTCTTGTTATGGAGCATTCCACACTATGCATTCACTTCTGGGCTGTCCTACTTAAACTTCCTTGTGACATAAGAGTTTTCAGATCTCCAAATCCTCACGTTGTTATATATATTAAACCAAAACACATTCTTGGGGAAAAAAACTTATACGTGTAATAAAACCATAAAAATTTACAGCACGACGTTTTTACAAGTTGATTACAACAATAAGCTAAAAATTTTGAGGTATTTTAAGGACACTCCAGAGCTTGCCTTCACACTTATACTATTTGTCATCCGCGAGTTCTTGCTCCTATGATAGATTAGAAGTAAATGTTTGGCTTTTTACAAACATAGAGATTTTCTTCTTTTGTCAGTAACCAAGAGTACCACTGAGGGAGAAAATTCCGAGCAGGCACGGAACGTACCCCCCCCCATCGCAGCCAGAGATTCCGGCTATTCATCTCAAGAGCAGCAAAAACTGGAAGACGCAAGTGTCTTTCATGAGAGAAATTGCCCCAAATTTACGGAGCATTCTGACTGGACCATATCTCAAAATTTTTGTTCAAACAGAGCTGGAGTTCAGGGAGGTCACCCGCTGGATGAAACAAGCCGGCATCCAGTTCAAAACTTTCGACTTAAAGCAAGACCGGCCAGTCAAAATTGTCATCAGAGGCCTCCCTGTTGAAACAGACATCGGGTACATCAAAGAGGAAGTTGAGGCGATGGGATTCGCATCGTTCGGCTTACTCAGCCTGGCTCCAGACACCCTATGCCACTTGTATATTTACAAGTTATCCCTCACCCTTTCCTCGATCATCTGTTCGACGTCACTGACATGTGGGGCACAGAGATCAGCATTGAACGTTAACGCGGCCGCAAGGGCCCTACTCAATGCTTTCGGAGCCAGGGCTTTTTCCATTCTTCGGAACTCTGCACCCTTCCAATCCGTTGTGTCAGATGCTCTGGACCCCATTGGGCACATGAGTGTACCAAAGGATTAGATGTACCTGCCACTTGCTGCAACTGCGGTGGAGATCATCCTGCTTCATATAAATCTTGTCCCCGTTACCCAGATAATAAACGGCTCGTGGTAAAAATCCCACGCTTAAGAATAGGGCAGCTGCACAGACAGCCCCCCCGCAGGGTTATTCTAAGCCCATAGCAACCGCTGAGACAAGACGTCCCATACCTGCTCCCCAAAGCAACGTCAGTTCACCATCTTATGCACAGATGGTGAAGAGCACGGATTAAAATCCACGAATCCGAGCACGGATTCAAATCCACGAATCCAAGACTGCCGGTTGCAGAAGCTCCTGCAGCCCCAGCAGTATCAGCCACAGCAGAGTGTAGCAATGATTCCGAAGATGTCTTCTCATCTACACTAAAATGCTTAATCGAAATCTCCCGCGACCCAGCTGTAGATAAGCATATTCTGCTTCTTGCCTTCAAAAAAGCAATGCCTAAACTCAGGCAAGCAGATGCTTTAATGAGGGCATTTTATTTGTATGAAAGCTATGTTAAGCTTTCAAGTTAATTTCGGCATTTTTAGACCCATGTCTTCTGTTTTTCAGTGATGAACCTCTTTTTAACAGCCTAAAATTCAATTATGTGAATAACAGTTCAAATACCATCAGAGAACTTGACCATTGTGTACATGGAATGCAAACGGCCTAACATCAATTAAAATTCGATGAGGTTCAAGACTTTATTCCCGAGTATGATCTTGACGTGTTATTAGTCTAAGAGACTCACAGGGAGTCTCTTGGACTAAACCCAGGGAATGGAACTCCCAAAATTGGGAATTATGACATGTACTCGTACTGACAAGGATATCATTAGCCAGGCAAGCAACTCCCAGTGGCACCTTGTATCTACGTGAAGCGTTCGATTAAAGCATCACACGATACCGTCCCCTGATTTAAGTATTTCTGGAAGCGACAATTCATCAAAATGTTCCTTCCAAAATTCTACCCAACTAACAGTCATTCTCGGCATACTTACCTCCACTTTCAAGCTGCACATGGAAAGCCAAGTACTTTTCCTGTCAATGATTTTGATAAACTTTTAGCAATGTTTCAAATCACCTAGTTATTACTGGCGATCTAAATTTCCCGTCATACCGTTTGGTTTTGCCCTAACAGGAAACAGGTATGGCATTAGTCTAAATTCATGGTGCCAGAGTAACCATGTTCAGGTCATAGCTCCTACCCTCCCGACTTACTACCCTGCAAGAGGGTCCCCTGCAGTTCTTGATCTGGCTGCCTTTTATAATATATTTTTTCGGCATGAAATTAAAGTGATTCAGGACTTAGATTCCGATCACTACCCTGTCTTGATTACATTTAAATATTCAAAATCGATACTCAAAACTAGAGGAGCAAGTCTCAACAAATTGGGGCGACTTTAGATTTATTTTGGAAAAAACTGCATTCCCTCCCATCAAAATTTCCAGCAATTCGAACTTTGACAGGATATAAAATCTGGAGTCTTTACTTAGAAGCGAGAGCTGCGGCTTCAAAACCCTTAAACACCCAGGTGCTAGGCTCCCACCTGAGACTAAATTCAAAATTAAGCAGCGGAACTACTTGCAAAGAATCTGGCAAAGGTCGCGCGATCCCAGTATTTGCGTCCAATTCCCAAGATACAAACCGAGATAAGGACTGAAACCCGCTTATTAAAAGAAGCGGAGTGGAAAAATTATATTGAGTCCCTAACGACTGAAAACAAATCGATTTATGATGAGCGTAATCGGGCGTGCAGCCCCCCGATTACGCTCATTACAAGCTTATTCCGCCCCTTGAAACGGACGATGGCGCACAGATGGCCTACACTGACTCAGAAAAGGCTGAAGTCATTGTCTTTTTGATTTTTGGTTTCATATTAAATGTTAATAACACAGAAATTTTATCCTTCAGTTTCTTAAACCACTTGTAGTTTCCCTTTCAAATACTACTGTGTGCTCTGGTAATGTTCTGTAATGTAGTACAGTTTCGTATTGTAAATCCCGAGTGGTTTGTATTCATTTAGCAGACCAAGTAAAATATCTTTTACCCAGTTATCAGCCCCGTGATGATCTGCCTCTTCTCACCAAGCAGTTTATGATGCACAATGCTGGATTTCTGTTTCTCCATCTTGTGAGGCATATATCAGTTGATTATAAATTTATCTTCTAGTATTTAGTGAATTGTAAAGCACTAGAAATAGAAGCATTTTTTAGCTTAATAGCTTGAAACCCTTCTAGAAAAGCAATTTCAAAGTTCTTAATTTTCATTTTTAGCGCTTCCTCGAGACATTTGCATTTTATATTAGTTTTTCATAAATTATACTTCTTAGTTTAAGTAAACTGCGCAGCGCTGTCTGGGAAATATACAGTTACCACTTCCTTTCCATTCAAAGACTCTTAATGCATGGTAATATTTACAGTCATTTCATTAATGTATAACAACTCTATGTAAATATAATGTGTCTCTCAAAAATGGAAGGTTCTGAATGTGGAAACCTTAAAATATGGAATACAGAAGTTGAATTTTCATCTTCTATCAGCTGGTACTTTAGAAAGAACCCTCACTCATTCACAGTGCCTCTACTCTAGCGGATTGTTTTTTTTTTTTTTTTTTAGCATTAAGGTAACGAAACTCTGGATCTCTGAAATCCAGCGCTGACAAAGAACTCTGAAAAAGTGTCCCACAGAACAAGAACCGGAAGATAGGAGAATTTCGGTTAAACTCATTTCATTAAAGCACTATGTACCTGAGCGATAAAGCCACGGTCCACAATACGTTAAATGGATTTGAACTACAAAACTCCTTGATAGGTAGGATATTTGGACACTCAAGAATCAGTTTTTTTCCAGTGAATTTAATAAACGGCGGATTTTTTATTGATTAGCATACATTTGTTTTGGTTCCTGGAAGTTTAAACATAATAGGCGGCTGCGTTTATAAACAAATGAATTCAGTAAGTGGCAGGTACTGTACATATTATATTTTTCGTTTCAAAAGTTGTTGATACACAATGAAAGAAAATTAAAGATGAAAAAGTTTAATTAAAAGTTGCTTCGAATATCAACCAAAAATAAATCAAGCAGCACTAACAAAATAAAATATACCTGATCTCTTGATTCAGACTTTGGAAAGACTATTCGTGGAGGTAATTTTTCGAAAGGTACTTGGTCACCAAATGATGGCTCTTCCAAATCCTGTGAACGAAGAACAGTAATCAAACATGAGCTGAACTTTAATATAAATAAACAAAGTAATCAGCCACAAAGAGAATCTTTCGGGAAAGAATGGCGTTCATATATTCCACAATTGAGCTTAAAAAGAATTGCATCGATTTTAAGTAATTAAAATATTCTTTTATTTCACATAAATTTAACATGTTTATAAATAATATTTCATTATCAATCAGTTTGTGTAAATGAGATGCATTTTTCTGAATTATTTATTAGTCCAGGATATTTAGATTTGCAGTAAGACATGCTATTTTCGGCTAGTTTTTATGATGCTAGTATGATACTGTCAACTTCAAACAACTCAGTATGTCCTCAGCGAAGTTGGTATGTTGGTATCTAGGTATGTTGGAGTTACTTCAATGAAACAAAGCAAATATATACAGAAAAGTTAAATTAAAGTTAATAAATAAATTTAATGAAATTTTGGTTTAATTGTGAAGATGCTACTTCGTCGATGGAGATGAAAGTGAGAAAGTGCACCTGAATAATTAATTACGTTTAACCTTCTAAATCAGCATGAAATTTCAATTAAAATTATAAAATTTTATATTTTGGCAGTTATGAGCACTGAGAACAAATGATAACCAATTTCTGCCACGGAAGACTAATTCACCGAAATATAGATTTATGCTTATTAATTTCTATGCCATTACACAATCTGTTAAACTGTTGTTTGGTTTACTAGATTGTGTAATGGCATAGAAATTAATAAGCATAAATCTATATTTCGGTGTTGGTTGGTTGGAGTGTTTTGGAACAAAACCTATGGGGGTTATTTTGCGCCAAACAAAAAGTTGTGTATTTTCAAAACTTAAGATACTAAAGATAAAAACACATGCAACATTCAGTGTATACTCACATACACTGAATGTTGGAATGTGGAAATTTAAGACAACGTTACATATAGATTAAAAATGCAAGCAGTAAGATCAAAGACATAAAATTCTTTTATGAAAAATCAGGATATGAAAACCATGAAATACAGATAGAAAAATCTAAAGTGAAATGATATATTTTGATGGTATTATGAATAAAACTAGATTCGAGTTAGATCTTCTGAAACTCATATTGGATTCAGAGCATTCAAACAGCGTGGTAAAACTTTGTAGCTTTGAAAAAGCAGTGGTACAAGCGGTGGTACAAGCGAGATGAAGATTTCTTCCCTCAATAGTCTTCTCGTACACGAAGGCACAGCCTACGTGATCCTGGGACTTAGATCCATCTGTATACACTGTAACATAGTCATTGAAAGCCTGTCTATGTTCACAGAAAATCTGCTTGCACGACGACATCACTGGTGCTATCTTTAGCTAAGCTGGAAAATATGCTGAGAAGCTCAATGTGAGCATCTTTCCAAGGAGGTATTCCCAAATACTTTACTGCTTGAACTTTCACCTCTTCCAAGTCATAGACTAGCTCGCACAATATTCAAATCAGGTAGAAAGACGATGTTATTTTAAGGAAGGTTTCAGAGGGTAGATTCAGAGCGTGTTCTGCCTTTGAAGGCCACGTTGCTAATTTCTATTTTCCTGAAAGAAGTATTTCTCCTTCGTTGCGTTATTCTCGCTATTAGGCTTCTTACACCGACCTCTGGATCAGAGCCAACTTGCGCGTTACATAAAGTTAGCATTGTGTAGCATAAACTATTACTTAGTTAAGTCGAATTATTTATCTTAATCTTTATTTAAGCCATAATTGCTGGCTATATTTGTAACCCCTCCCCCCGAATGTCCCCGTATGTTAGCTTTTATTTGAGTTAAATAAAGGGTCATTTATGCAGTTTCTCTGTCTCTGTGGTAGTTACAATGTATAGTGATAATTCACTTTTCAGTCTTAAGACATTTCTTGCGTTTCATGTTTCCAAAGAATACGAAGCGTTATAAGTTTATTACAGAAAGGTTTTACTCTATTTTCTACTTTTTAATACTGACTTTAGAATTTCATTTTAAATATCACAGTGTAAACATTTGTGATCAGTAATGTAGGCAGAATATCGCAGAGGAACCATACATTACTTGCTAAATTTAATTTGAAAGAAATGTCATGTTAACCATTCAATTTCTGGTATCTTAATTTATGGTATTATATTTCTGGTATCTAGTATATACAGTATTACAGATATTCAGTATATCCGTACTGAAACATGCCTACTCCATACAAAGAAGATATATACGATTATATTGATTCATAGGAGGATGGGGGGTTGTGCTCTTATGATGATATATTTATTCATATTAGTTTTATTTAGGTTCATATTAGGTTTGAGATCTCCATGAGTAACATTAACGAGTTTATTCATGAATTTGAATTCCATACTTTAAATTATTAACTCCTTATGGGTTTGCATTCCAATAGGAGATTCGTGTTAGGATAACAGCCAAAATCCAAACCAAGAGCTTATGGACCGGTTTCGCTTTTAATGAATACATGACTTTTTTAAAGTAGTTGATAAGCACATAAACTCCTAATCAGCTATAAACGGGAATAATTTCTTACCCATCCAATAGCTTCAAAGATTTTGACATCTAAAGTATGGCCGAGAAGTTTACCATCCACTTTAGTTAAAGAATGACATGTAGCGAGGGCTTTCAGGAGAGAACTATTGGGAAGGTGTGTCAAGTGCTTTACAGCTCTTTCAAACCTTGTTAGACACGAAAATATTTAGTACACACGTACAGCTACAAAGCGCATTCTAAACAGAAAACAGATTTTGCAATTATAGAGAGAAATTTGTTTCTAATCACTTACCTTCCATCTTCAACTGGAACAACACCAGAAATATCCAAACTGTCTTCGGTAAGCGTTCCTGTCTGAGAAAGTACTTATTCAAACCTACGTTAATAAACCTTTATGGTACTGCTAACAGATTGTGATAACACTACCATTTAGTACTATATCATCAAACCATTTTCACAACGTTATGGTAAAAGCGAAATGCGTTGTTTAATGTTTACACGCTAATAATCTTTATGCTAGTTTTCTGGTTATATGTTAGAATATTTTTGCCGTAAAATAACTGTCTGGGCAAAGCCGATGCTAAACGTTTAGCAGATATTTTATGCTCTTATCACGTTACCTAGTATTAAATGTGCAAACTTGATAGTAACTTAGTTAATCAAATAATAATGTTACCAGAAATGTATATATGCTAGTGTATTAATTAATTTTTAATAATTTGAAATTTTTCAAAAATATATCTCGCAAATGAATTTTTTATCTCTAGTGTTTTACAGATATGAAACTTTTCTAATTGGATAACTAACTATTATTGAAATATTCATACTATCAGCATATCTATTTTTACGTTTATGATAAAACGATTGGATTTGATTACTTGGCTATGACAAAGCACACATGGACTAGCCGTCTAAGGGAAAGGAAGCCTTCGTTTAGAATTGTTTTAGGCGAGTCCGGTTCTTAATCACGATATCCATGGGGAAAAGTAGGGAAATTTCCACTGTTGGTGGGCAGCAAAATGAGGCTGTGTTACAATAGCAAAGCATGTGTTAAAAATATACTTAAGCACCCCATTGGAAACAATCTTACAACAAGAACCGCCCACGGACCAAACCACGGACATCTGGAATACCGGCCCAGCGTGCAGAACCACTACACCACGAAGGCAAGCGAGGAAGGCGGGAGAAATACCTTATAGTGTTTAAGTTTAGATCTAGAGAAGTCTCTTCTTTCTACACAAGTGTTTATTTGAAAGCAAGATTTTCTAAACATATCGCAGGAAATTCCATACAGAATTTTTTTCGCTCTCTTATTCTAAAATGTTTTTCAAAAGATTTGGCATAAAACGTTTTCAAGATAGCGTCGTGTTTAATTCCTTTGCTATAAGCATATAAGTAAGAGATAGTTCAAAATATAAAATAAATATATATACATACAATATATAACTAAAAATACAATCTCCATTTTAAATTTGTATAGTGAACAAATTAAAATAACAATTGGAAAGTAATTATATACCTTAATATTTTCATAGCAATGTATCGAATTTTACATCCAGATGATAAAATACCATTTTCAACAAATATTAGAATAAAATGTAATGCTAGGTGAAATTGGAACCTTTATTTTTACAAATTATTTTTAAAAAGAAAAGGATTTGCATCATTAAATACTTGGGAGTGTGTTTATGTGTAGCAAGTACAGCTTATGTTTTCAATAACAGAAAACGTTTTATTATATGAATTAACAATTAAGCTACAAATTAGTAATTTCAATATAAAAATTAATGATTATATATAAGTTAGTAGTTTTCATCCTAAAAGTCTTCATATTAATTAATTTACAGCTTTGATTCTATTTTACATATTTATTTAAAATTATAATATAATTAAATCTAGCTTGCAAGGATTTATTTTATTCTAACCAATTATTTTTAGTTTGACTTTCCTGTCCCTCCAGATTTCAGTTTCCTGTCGGAATGCAAATTTTGCATGTCGTAGATGCAAATTCTAAACGTGTTTCAGAAGCAGTATTTAAGCTGCGTTTCAGGAGTTCAAAAGGATTGTAGTAGCGGACTTTGTTCCGATGTTCATGCTGCGAGTTTAAGATTAGCTCTCTAGTTCGGTGTTCGACACCTTTCGGTTTATACTAATATTTTTCGGCTTGGCTTTGCTGTGTGCAGCCGATTTAGCGCTAGTTAACCTAAGATACCAGTCATTAGATATCTTAATTTACTAGCGATTTGTTACATTCTTATTTTTCTGTTCATTTACGTAGCCACAAGTGGTGGTAATTTGTGAGCGCGATGTGCGTGCATATGTTCATTTCAAAAACCTTCTTCTTCAGTTTACTTCCAAAAGATATAGCGAGAATTCGCTACTTCGTCTTCCACATAAGGTCAAAGATTGTATGTTACTAAAGAATTCCCAAAGATTGTATAAGCCTAGTGAGACAGAAATTACTTAATAACCATTGTTCACTCACAGTGTGTTATATAGCATATTTGAATTTGATATACAATATAAACTTATCTCATTGCTCATATTTTCAATTAATAATAATGTAAAAGCAACTATCCTTTATAAAATATTTATTATTCATCATTGCTTTACGGGCTTATATCATAACTGATGTAAGCCCGTAAAACAAAGCATAATAATAAACACAATGAATTTCGTCACCTTGTCAAAGCACACAACATCTAGCCCTCCGCAGAAATTGATGTAACGAGAATTAAGACAGTATATCCCGTGTTTCCGTAGCCTCCTCTGCGCATGCGCGTTGATGCTGGTGAGAACCGCTGGCAGAACGGGAGGTACAAGGAAAGTGACAACGTCGACGACGATGATGATGACATCTTTTGTGTAAGCCTATAAATAAAACGTTTGAATTAATCTTACAGTATTAACGCAACACAGGCACAAATAATAGGTTTTCGTTACCTCGTTCACCTTTATTTTACGGCAATGAAATTAAAATGGTGCATGTAACATCTATGAACACTTACGCCACACACTTCATGCAGTATTTCACGTTCAGAATCGAGAGTAATAAGTTCATGAAGATGATGAACTTTATAGAAATGCCTGACGAGAGATTCTTCTTAGTGCTAAAATACTAATTTCAGGTGAAACTATCCGATAGCTTTGCTATTCCATATGATGACGAAGCCAGAAGATTGTTCAGTTATTCTAAAACCTCGGTTACAATTCCTGGTCTTTTCATAGAAGATTAATTACTTCAATTTTGGCAACAGTAACAAGTTTTTGATCAAATCTTTTTTTCTTGAATCGACGAAAAAGTCGTAAAATTGCAATCGCACTTTTCAGTGCTCAATTTCACTAAGAATGCTTTACTATTCTTGGAAGTTCCTACTATTATAGATCCTACATTCCACGTTCTATGCTATCTACATTTATATGCCATCAACATATCTTACAACAGTACAGCTACGTTTGCTTCTTTACACACTCACCCCTTTACCCGGCTTTTATTTTGACAATCGTTGGTCATAGTCATATACTTCCGATTCCAATTCCAATTATTAACGCATCATTCTTTACATTTCATCTATTTTACATTACTGTAACTGAAACACTTGCATAAAAAGATTCCTTAAAATAAAGCCGCGTAATTTTATGTATCTCTCCTAACTACGTGAGAGTTCGTTGCAAATTCATAATAATACAAATTTTCAATGTTTACTCACTTTTCTTCTTTTTTAGTTTTATGCAGTGAAAATTCTGAAATTTACTACGTTTGGTATCAGACTTTTGTATCATTAAGACAAGTAAGTTAAATAAATTACAAAGCAAATTAAAGATAAGCAAATTACAACCAAGTTTAGACATATTCAATCTAAATCTAAATTTTTCAAGTAACCATTTACTTCTGTTCCTGAGCTTTATATTTGGAAAGAAATGTTGCGTCAAACCCCACTGTAATACGTAAACGCTTTCAGTAGCTTAGGATATAAATCGGTGCCACTCCAAAACTGCAACATTTAGTTTTATCCGTTTTCATATGATGCATTTTCTAAATTGCTTTCGAATTTCTTAATGATGCTTTTATATGTTTTCGATACCAAAATGAGAACGTTTTCTGAGATATAAAAAAAAAGAATTAAATGCCTAATATTCATAATTCGAATTTTCCAAACTGTCAGGAAAGTTTTTCTCGAAACAATGATATTATAAAAAGTGACTCTTTTGGCGTGCTATGCTTGATAGGTTACATTTACAGCAGATATGAAGTATTATATTTAGCAGATAGATTTTTGGGAGTGGTATCGTTGATATATTACATTTACAACAATTATAAAGTATCGTATTTGTCGGATTTTGTTATTTTATAGCAATTTATATGAAGGTGCATACTTTAAGTATGAAAAAAAAAGCAATCTAATGTTTCATTATCTTCTATTGAAAAGTTCAATAGAAGATAATGTTTCATTATCTTCTATTGAACTATCAATTTTATTTTAACTTCCCTTAGACTGTAAATTTATTTTAGAGTGCATATTCATATCTTTTATTATCTTGCATTCGAAGAGTTCAAAAAGACTACATTGGCTGGAGAATTTTGGAATTGTTTGTGTTAAAAGAATGAAGTAAGTTCTATGTATTCTTTTCGAAGTATTGTCAGAAATTGATGCAAATGTGAAATAGATATCAATTTAGGATATTTAGTAAATAAAACAGTTTGTGTTAAATTTCAAGTTCTCCATTCTTAAACCGCTGATTGCTATCGTACCGGTGATTAAATATATCGGTGATTAATTTAACCAGTGATTAATATATCAGGATTTTATTCGGTGATGAATATACCGGTGATTAAATATATCGGTGATTAATTTAATCAGTGATTAGTATATCAGGATTAAGCATTTTCTATCAACAAACATATATATGTATAGATCCTACATTCCACGTTCTATGCTATCTACATTTCTATGCATCAACATATTCTACGACAGTACAGCTAAGTTTGCTTCTTTACGCACTCAACCCTTTACCCGGCTTTTATTTTGACAATCGTTGGTCATAGTCATATATTTCCAATTACAAAAGTGCTTTAAAAGACTAAAATATTCTTGTTTTTGCAGTGTGAAATTAAAAAATAATAATTTTCGCCATATAACGATACATTCCCCCGTTTCTTGTTCTTATATTTGGAAAAAGTTTTATACTTGTTGTAAAAAATAAAATTATAAGAAGCTAGACTCCCGTACGACAAAAATTACCGGGATTTTTGATGTCATTGCTTTGAGGGATCAATTAATTTAGAATAATTACAGGAAATAATTTAAATTAAGTGCATCAAAAAATGCGTATAATTTAACAGGCCTTACAAAGAAGTCAAGTGGAGTCCACGTCAGACATTTTTAATAAAAAAAGAACTAAGATAAAATAAGAATAAAGGTCAAAAGACTTTTTATATATATGAATGACGCAAACTTAAAGTAGAAACAACGGCAAGTATCTCTAAATACTCACACCAAGATTAATCCATATGACTGCTGTATAGATCATAGGAGGTATACCTGGAAGTATAGAAAGTAGATCAGGATAACAAAGATGTATGGCATCTTATTTGCTAAGATTACAGAACTATGTGCAACTAATTATTTAAATCTCTTACCAAGGACGAAAAATATGATCATGCATTTAAATAAATCCGTGTAGAGTTTGAAATTCACGGGTTTGGGGAAAAGAATAGCTCTTACTAGTTCTCCTTTTGCAGTAGAGAAACCTAAAATAATAGGTAATATAATAATAAGATTTTACTTACAAATTATACCACTGAAAGTTATGTAGAGTGAAAAAACAATTTAATATTTCACTCAGTTTAGTTTAATTAAAATTTAATATGACATATTTTTTAGATTGAAAAGTAATAAATTAGAAACCTTGCGATTATAAAGTAGAGACTACGCGCACCTCTGAGCTTTGTATTTATAATGGGCTTCGATTAATCGGATAAATTGCAAAAGATATATTAACTTAAACTCACTTTATTTTAAGAATATAGAATTATATATACGAAAATATTTATGGTTATAGAAAAAAAAATTTCAATTTACACGGTTAACATTTCAAGAAAGCACAAAAATGAATTTTTGGCAAGCCTTCCGTCAGTATGTTGATATTTCCATTTAATTGAATTTAATTTTTAATTTTTGTTAATTAGGATATTAATTCTCTTGCGAATGTTAAATGGCGCTGTTTCTTAAAATGAGTAATTTTTTTAAAGTTTTTAATTTAGCCTACGATAAGACGAACAAAATTTTATCTTTAAATAAGTATTAAATGTTTTGAGAATATAGTAATTTTTTATATTCATAAAATAAAGCAAAATATGACTTTGGACTTATTTTTTTAACTATTAATGAATCAAATCATTATAAATAGAGTATTTTATGCACAAAATTTAAATTCAAAATCTTTCAAACATAAATATATCATAAATGGCTATGCACAGAAAAAAGACACTCTGAACAAAAGAAAATTGTACCTATTCCGTTCTACTGGGGCGACTCACGAAATTTAATTGCGTTTTTTATGTCTCAAAAGCGTGACTTTGTGTATCTATTAGATTTACTCATAACATTTTTGTTAATTCAATTTGGTATTTGTTTATTTTGAACTTAGTTGATTCATTCCTTCACAGTTCGAGATTTAGGTTTAATCCAAATAAAATTCGCACTTATTTTATAATTTATTTTAAAAATTTATACGCAATTTGTATAAATTTTTCGATAAAATATTTGAATTATAACCTATAAAGTTTTTACCATCATCTTAAAGTGGATGTATTTCTAGATATATCTGCAAAACATTAGAGTATTTTACTGAAAATTTCCTAAGATATAACTGAATTTATATACTGGCGTGTTTTGAAATTTGGCATCTTTGTTTAAAGCAATAATAACTCCAAATGCGATATTATAACTATCTTAAAATAGCAACCATGATTAAAAAATATAACATAAAGGAAATTATTTGAAAGAATGAACAATGCAACTTCTTCTCCTCTTTTTTTTTTTTTTTTTTTTTTTTTTTTTTTTCCCCTCTTTCTTTTCCGCACGTACACAAAATTGAACGGAAAATTAAAGTAGGTTACGATGCATTAAGAATTTCCCCATTCTTGGCGCAACTGAAAGAAGTTCGTAAAGTTAAATTTTTGAATTTCTTGGTAAGTTTCTCATAAAATGTTAAAAGATTTAATATTTAGGCATAATTTGGGTGGTAGAATGTAAATGTGGAAAAGCTTGATATGTCATGTCAGAAAAAAGTCCGATTTTGTGTCAAAATGCCTACTGTAGAAAATTCTATGATAAAAATCTAATATATATATCCCAAGTCTCCGCTTTTGAGGTATGAAAAATGCAAGTTAAATTTCGTCAGTCGGCCAGAAGGAAGATATAGAACCGTCCCATTTCATTTTGTGCAGAGTGTACATTTACAAAGGTACAACTGTCATTTTAATAAAAAAACATAGGAACAGATAATTAGAAAATATAATAATATCATTATTCCAACGGTAAAAGATATTTTTTAATCTATCTAATAGGCAATGGTTATTGGTCTAAATCGTAATTGCTAACGTACTATTTTAATGGCTATTTCAGTAATATAGAGTACTGCAAACGATAAATATGTTATTCATGTTGTCGGGAAAAACATATTCCACCGAAAGCTACAATAATATATCCCATTTGATGCATGATGTCTCCACAATTACTGATGCACATACATTCTAAATAGAAATATTTAATTTTTATAATAACGAATGTTAAAGCACGGTGAGAAACCTGTTTCCAGGCAACTAATTACCCCCATTACCTTACCTGTTCTGTATACTATTGCTTTAACACCAGACCCATCAGCATTCCTGCTGTGAAGTATTTGAGTTCCACAGAATAACGTACTTCGCTTATTGCTGCTAGTGTCATATTTAGTATTGGAATCATTGGCGACAGGGACTTTGGTAATAGGAGTGCTTTCTCCTGCAAGAGATAATTTTTCATAAAGATATTTAAATAAAAATTCAGGGAGATATACAAAACTAATATGGATCACTTTTTAACGCATATTTATAATTGAAATTTAGTCATGTCTTAAATTTCCTTTAGATTCGAAAAGGCCACAATGAAACAAAAGTAGATCGTTTTGGAGATTAATGAAGCAGTGTTGGATTAAAAGAATTAGTTATTAAGATTTTATTTGACCCTGGCAAAACTGTTAATTGCTTACACCTCATTCTGATTTTGGTTGTAAAATTACTCAGTTGTAAAATGAACATTTTACTACCTTTTCGGTTTTTGTATGGGATTATAAAAAGAGTTAAGTTTTGCATTTTCAGAACTCTTTTCTACCAGTTTATTGATGAAACTCTTTTCATGTAATTTTATTTTATTTGGGAAACATTTTTAACTCAAAATTAATATATAGGATTAATGTTTACGAAAATAAATCTTGTAATCAATCTTGTTCCAATACCATATATATTGAGATCTATTAACAAGTTATAGTACGAGTATTATTCAACATTTGTACGTACGTAAAGAGTAAACAGTACTAAAATTGGCAAAATGTTTACCTATATTTTCATCACAACTTGGACATTTAAACCATACAATTTTTATATCAAAGCGCGTATTGCAATTATAAATTTACCTTTATTTACTGAAACTTATATATCACACTGAATATGCTTTGAATGCCTTTCGATCCAACATGCAAATCGTAAACTTTTGGTAGCTAACGAATGAATAGCCAGAGCTACACAATATCATAACTGAGTTTGTGGGTGGTGAATTATAAAGGAAATCTCCTGTTCTTCCATTCAGATTTGTTTCTGTCTACTCAAGTCAACTGGAAAATGGCTGGCAAACGGGTTCTCGTACACAATGATCTCACATCACTAGTTGATAGCGAAAGTGTGATCAGGCTGGAGGAAGCAAGGTGGCCAAATCGGAAAAATTGTTCGCCATTTAGGTTGGAGAGATGCCATTATTCGACGATGTGGTAGGAATGTTTGAACTCTTGTGATAAGGCACATTGTTGAGAAAGCAGTGATCTAGGAAGACGATAGAACATGAAGATGGAGCGATCGCCAAAGATGGGGCGATCAAAGTGGCTCTTGGAAAACTTGATTCGTAATAATCAATGATCCCAACGTAACCGAGACACCGGTAGCCTCAGCCACCATTGATAGACGATTTAAAGAAAGGCGGTCTGCGCTCACACGCGTTTTGCCGACTATTTCCACTGTGCACATCAAGAAGCGCGTTTTCAATGGTGCTGCGCTAGTCCGATCTGAAATCTCAGTGACTGAAGTAGAAATGTCTTCACTGCTGAATCCCACTTTGAGTTGAGCCACGATGACCGCTGAAGATGTCTCTAAAGAGTCCAGAAGAGTGGTAAGATACTAACTTGAGTGTCATCCGTCACACAGCCGGGCAGTTATAATCTGAGGCCCCATTTAATTTGAAAGTCGAAACCCTTTCTTTGCCACCAATTTACAGAGGTACATCGACGCTATTCTACACCCCGTTACGTTTATATTCCTTTTGAGACACATCTTGCTTATATTTCAACAGGATATTATCAGGTGACATAAGGCAATCATTTCTACTCATTATATTCACTTTCAGATTGCAAGTTCACTATCAAATACTTCTTTCACCAACTGGATTGCAAGATTTCTGCCTCCGCCCTCTATAGAAGCAGTTTGGGGTTTGATGAGCAGCCGCATTCGACCGTTTCAGGATGTCAATGCCCTAACTCGACAATTGGAAATTATTTTGCAAGAAATCTCGCAGAAGATCATACCCGATTCTACGACACTGCCAGCTAGTTAATAAATTGTATAAGAGCTAAGAGGTGGACTAATGTTTAATTAATATGTTTTAATTTAATTAATCTGGTCGTTTCATGTAGCTATATCTCTTGACCTTTTTTTTTAATCTTGAATGTATTTTGTGTCCGAAAAGTGTGTAAGGATAATTTATGTTAGTGTTTTGGATCTTTATTCTCATTTCTCCCGTCTGTCTTTCGATCAGAATACAAATTAGTTGGCAAGTATTTAGAGGTTTTTATATTGTAAGATAGAGCGTATTCTGCCTCTCGAGGCCAGGTTTCTAGGTGGCTAGATCAGATAATCTTCGGTCTTGCATTATAATTGCCGATACTAAATCTCCACACCGATTAGATAACGTACTCAACTTCGTGATCAATTGATCTGTGTAACTTTGGCTACTAGCTCTTGCATCAACTTACATTTGAACTGACTGTTATTTTAAGTTATCTCGCCATAAGTACTGGATGAGCTTTGCACCAGTCGTGGCTTCTGTTCTTCTTAGTTTTAAGCAAAGGGATCTTGTTACACTCTTTTCAAGTTTCAGTTGTTATTTTAGACTTGGCTATGATTCTTTTAACATCTACCAAGAGTTTGGTCACTATTGAAAGATTGCAAAACATAGCAAACTCTATTAGTACATGATTCGTTATTAAAAGTGTATTAATTAAATAGTTGTTTTAATTTCGTAAGTTGTAAATACATGTACTCAAATGTTAGAAAGTTAGTTTAGCTGTTCTAACTACTCATAAAACCATCAAAGAGCGAAGTCGTATAATTGTTAGTCGCACTGGAGATCTTCACAAAGCCTTTTGAACAATAATGATTTATAGGAGATTTGCATTTTTGAGGTCGTATTATCAATGCAAAAGTACCGATAAATATGAGTAATTCGAGAAATATTACAAAATTCAAAATCTGGAAACTAATATAAAATTACTTAAGTCTGTGAATTTATTTGTAATAAATTTTGAAACACTAAAATTTGAGCTTGAAAAAATATGTTGCATATGAGTAAAATTAAATATTATTAGCAAAATTAATTTTCTGGGGGTGAAAATTAGGATATTTGAATAGAAAGTTTCATTGACTGCACTTATAACAGTATATATTGAAGAACCAACAGTATGAATTGTTTGTTAATGCCATATACGCCTTATCGACATTTTAATATTAAAATGCTAAAACTGCATTGCAAAATCTTCATCTTTGCACAATAATTTATCATGAACAATTTCTATACAAACTAATGCAGTTGTAAAACTAATAAAATCTATTGAAACTTTAATTACTGAAAATTTTTATTCATAAACTGAAATGAGAAGATTAAATTTAGAAGTCGAAATTTCTAGATTGTAACACAATGAAGAAAACATTCATCGTTAAATTTAGAAGTTGAAATTTCTAGATTGTAATACAATGAAGAAAACATTCATCGTAAATTAGCAACTAAAATTTAATATTTTCAATTTACCAACCTGTAAGCATACTTTCATTCACGACACAATTCCCAGACAACAGTACAGCGTCACAGACCATGGTAAACTGCGCTTGCGGTAAAAGAATAACATCGCCTGGTACGAGATCGTCAGAAGGTTTCTGAACCTCTGAAAGATTAGTAATAATTTATTTTTACAAGTACATTTCAATGGCTTAATTATTAAGAAAGCAAAATAATGATGATCTACAAATTAAAACTTACAAAAGTATGGGGGTAGTTTTACTATATAGTTTTCTAGAAACTGGCATGATTTGATGATTTTCGATAAGAGGAAATAATTAACGCATTGGTCGCCATAGGGTCAATAGTGATCGACATCTGATTATTTCAGTAGCGGCGTGGGAGGTCACAGGTGACCGGCAAAGTAGACTGAACAATCGTTCAGCCCTGCCGCTCACAATCTCTGTGCATTTCCCCGTATAAAATGATCCTTCTGTATATTGCTGCGATTTGGCCTGAGAATATTATTTGAAAGAAACATATTTGTGAGAGACTGTGTATAAAAAATAACGCGTTAGGTATAAACGAGATTTCACTGACAGGAACTAGAAAATATCAAGATTACAATATAACAACCGTAATTATGGAACAAACAAACAAAACGTAAACCAAAAACGATGCATTTTATTAAAACATATTAAACAATGATGTGGCTTAGAAGGATATTGAGGGCAATATGTTGCCACTTTTCACTTCCCTGTACGAAGTTAAAAAAAAAAATTGTTGCAATTGCGAAAAATTTCGGGTATCATATTTCAACGAAAATATCCATTTTGACCTCTCTCGATTCCATTTGAACGATTATTTTACGCCACAACTGTACGTGCGGACAAAATAAAAGATTTTTTTTTTCCAAAACGGATTTAAAATGGATTCAGAAGCGATTTTTCGTGACATCTGTATGTAGAACGTTGAAATTTTGTATATCGGACTGCGAGAACATCTAGTTGTGCACCGCCCTTTTTGGTTGCAATCGCGGCACCAAATGTAAAAAATAAAGCCTAATGTCTCAAAAAGTTGTTCTTTCGAAATGCTTTGAATCTGTGATACGACCCTTAGACTGTTTCATACTCAAGTTAAGAAAAAGTAACAACAAATACTTTCTAAGAGAAAAATTTAAAGGTGTACTAGAGCTGTTGTTAAATGAATCAAATGTTTTTCTTTAATGGAAAAAATATTAAAATATTTATAAGTACAAATAACTCACGTTACAGTATGTTTAATGCACTTGCTTCAAAAAAAATTACTTTTAAAACTGACCTTTACCATCTCGCAGAACTGTAATCACGGCATCAGTGCGCACTGCATCTCTCAGAGCTTTGCTTTGCTAAGAGAAAATATTTTAATTGTTAATCCAAAAAAATGAATAATTAGTATATTAATAAAAACATATGATATATACTTTTTTTTACCTTTTCAGAACATATTTACCTTTCTCGTTTCCCATACTGTAGCTGTGATTGATATGATAGACAAAAGCACTATACATAATGCAAACTGATAGTAAACTTGAATCATCCATACGACGACGATGAACATTTGATAAATATAAAAAGGACTCCGAATCTGAAAATTGAATAGTTATATATATTTCGGAAACCAGAATGAATTTTATTTAACATAATTTAATAGATTAATTAATAAGTAACTAAAAACATGCGTATGATTTATTTTTTAATTTACATATCTATAGAAAATGAAAAATATCTTTCAGTATTAGTTATTTTATACAATAATAAAACGCATTCTTGCTTTCTTTTATTTAAATTGTCATTTCCTATATCACAAAACAAGTTTTTTTTTTTTTTTTCAGTTATCTGGTGTTGAATTTCCAACCTAGTCTTACTTTTGAAGAGCATTAAAAAACTTCTCAAAAATGTCAAGTTAAAATTATTTTTACAAAACACTGCATACTTATACATTTTATAAATAATTTTATTAAAGACATATACTTCATTTCTTGTTTTATTAATTTAAGAAACTACCAGTTTCAGCTTTGTTTAAAAGGCGAATATCTCAGAACTTACGTATGCGCGAACTCTGTCACATAATAGCAGAATCATAGAAATGTATATAAATCCAAATTTCATATAACCATAGGATATAAGAACCATATAAATAATATAGAATACCAAAATCATATGCTTAGAAGTACCGGGTAACTTTAAAATTTCTAATTTAAAATGCAGTAAGCCCTTTCTAAGACTCCAGTCACGGCTCCAGACTATTTTGGTTTTCTGTGGAAGTGTCAGCCTTAGAGAACTAATAAAGGATATAGACGTTTATTTGTGTTTCCTGGAATATTGATCACTTTCATTACTTTAAAGGAAGTGATCGCGACAAGAGAATTCACTCTAAAATTATGTCAGTTTATAAAACCATGCAGAATGCTTTGAATAATTTTGCGATCATTAAGATGTTCAAATATCTTTGATTTCAATCACCAGCTCATTGTCGCGACATTTCGCTTTATTATTGTATGAAAAGTCAATATTAACCGTAACTTTGCTCTGCTCTACGTCAGCACAAATTGAGCCATACAATTTCAGCTTGAGCGAAAAGAAAATTTCAGTGTCATTTTCTCCATTGTTCAAATCAGTAAGACTTCAGAACTTAAATATTTTCTCCTATTTATGTATAAGATTTTATTGCTAATACTTTGGTTTGTAAATCATCGGGAAAAATTCTATGAACTGTAGAAGTGCGCCATATCTAGTATATATATTTTATCGCAAAAGAAACGTGAAATCATCAAGAAGAATGACGGCATGAAACATTAAATTGTGCTGCAAAACATTTATATAAATAACCTCCCGAAAATTGGCAACCGAATAATTAAATTAAGAGATTTGCGAAAATTTTACAGCCTAGATATTCATATAATATATCTAGCAGCTTCCACAAATAGAAAGATGCAATTCAAATAATTAATAACTTAAATGAGATATCAATGGAAATTTACACAAATTTCTTAAATTGCACTCACATTTAAAAATCAGTCAAATTCTAGCAAAATTATCGTCTGTCTTACAAGAATTAAAGAGATCCATTTAAATGGGCGATGAGATGTGTACTTGAATTACACTACGAATACAGGTTTTCTTTTTAATGCAATGTTTGTTGCCACGTAATATTGTAAAGCATAAGATATTTATTCCCATGAAGCTTGCTTATTCCAGTACTTTCATTTTTAATTCGAATTCTACTTTCACCATTTGGTTATTGAAAACAGGGACCTCTGGTAATCTCATCTTCTCAGATAAATTGGATGTGTTCTGTATATTATATTACGGCGTATAACGCGCTTTCGGTACAAAATATAAGATGGAAATTTACAGGTGAGCGTTATACTCCGGAATTAAAAATGATAAACTTGAAAATAGGAAATGAGTTTTACAAAAATTGGATTTCTATATGTATCTAAATGCCGTTTATTTAAAAGAAATGAAATACCTAATGAACTTAAAAAATTTTCACGTCTGTCGGAAAAAAAAAAAAAAAAGAAAAGAAAAGAAGAGGATTATATATATTACCTCTCTAAGTACCAATTTGCAAACAGGTTTCACTTTTATTTGTATAGAATTCTTGCCATAGAAGTGCAGTCTGAATAATGCTTCTGTTGTATTTAAACCTTCTCTGAGGGCATGTAAATGAGAACAGTTTCGAACATCTAGACCCCTGTTAAGGTGATAGTATAAGTGGTTATTTTAGAACTAATAAATATATTTAACTGTTATTTCATTTCGAAATAGCTTAAATTTCATACCATTAAATCTCATAACATTTTGTAAATGCACGAGCTAAATTAATTTTTATTAAACTAAAACATACAAAGTTACTTGATTAAATAATTATAAATTAAGTTATTATTTTTTGAAATTTTACTTAATTTGCACGGACCCAAGTTTCATAGATTTGGGAAAGTTAAAGCTTCAGTGACAAATGGAACCATTTTTCTTCCTATTGGAGTATGTGATTTTCAAATAAAAGAATAATTTCTTTATAATCCTACTTATTAATTACAGTTAATCTTTAGTTCTGCGCTTTCTTATTTTTAGATTCATGATATGATTGAAATTTATGTGCAGTATAATTTTTTCAAACTGCATTGATATAAACTCGAAATCTGGGTGACAGTGTTCTTATGTTTTTAGCAAATATTTTATATAATGATTACTATCCACCACAACATGAATATAATATCAAAAAAGTGGTAACACGGGCAAAATATGAATTTAATTCAAATTATATGACTGGTTATTTCAAAGGAAGTTGTATAAAATTATATAACTTACGTACTAATTACTTTAATTTGTTTCAATAAATGATTGAAGAACATTTGTGCGATATCTAATAAGAGGTGAAATCACTTTATGCGCATACAGTACATATCAGTAAAATATTTGGACGAAAGGAAGCAAAATCGATATTTATCTATAATTTAAATTACTTAGATTTAAAAAAGTACTTACACAACTCTAACAAACTTGGAATGTTGAGGATCCCATACGTATTTAATTCTTTTGTTGTAAAAATATGTATGCTGTTTTGACTTAAGTGATTTCTCAACAGGCCGTACAACGCGTTCCACGAACTGTTGATTGTATGAATCCTGTGAACAGAAAATAATGATATAGTGCATTTATACTACCATAATAACGTTAATTTAATGTAAATAATTGATTGCCTTTCGTATAACCTCCCCCAAAAGTTATTTCAAAATAAGAAATCATTTTTTCTTCCGAGAAGTTATGAACGAAAATGTACAGTATTAACTGAGCTTGCGAAAGGCTACAAAGCTAATTATTGGACTGCTCACTCAGAGTGCTATGTAATCCAATTACAGTATTAGTGAACAATTAGTCATTATGCAATTAAAATAAATCCTGAGATTTAAATATATTTTGCGTTTAGTAAAATTATTTTTAGTCCAAAGGATAAATTTACACAGAAGGGCTATTAATTTCGTTTTAGCATTTTTGCATCGTCCACTATAAAATTGCCATTAAATATTACAGCCCTTCATTATATTTAAAGAAATTAAATAATGAAGAATCTGCATAAATGTATGTATGTTTCTCGCATTGGGAAAAAAGACAACGGTAAATAGAGACATCAAATTCCGAATAACGTAGTCCTCTACTCGAATATGGGCATCTGGATTTGGAATTCGGAATTTGTTTTATAATCTATTTCATATTTTGTAAAACTTTAACAAATTTTTGATTAACACACTCAACGATTTCATAGCGAGCAATGGCAAAACTGTGCAGGATTTAAAAAAAAAAAAAAAAAAAGAATCGGAAATTCTAAAGATATGCTCTTTTTAAATATTTTGTGATATTGCTGTTGAGTTAAATTTTATGGTTCAAGTGCGAAGAACATGATACTAATAAAAAAGGTAACACACAAAACGTTAAGAAAACGCCCTTGTGGGAGTAATATAAAATCTGAATATTTTCGGGTTTATATATGTATATATAATTTTTTCGAGTACATTAAACCTAAATCTGAGTAAAATGGGTTTAAGAGCTGAGTTTCAATGGCGTATTTTCTTTTTCTTCTTCCATCCTATTATAATTCGAAATTTTCATGGATTATTTATATTATTACAACAAACCATTTTGGGCCCACCAGCGGCCGAGCGGTAACATCGCTGAACACTGGTAGTTCGGTCTGAGGTTCGAATCCCGCGAACGGGCTGGCTGCATGGGTGTTTTCGTGGTTTTCCTCATGTGTAACATGTATACGAGCAAGTTTCCCTTAAAAAGTCCTCCACGAAGGCATCCCTCCCTTAAGGCAGATAGCCCTCGAGTGCTTTGCCGTAATCTAATAATAAAAAATAAAATAAAATAAAAACAACAAACCATTTAACAAAAACAGTTAGAAGATTAAAAATTATTTATAAAAAAAGTTGAGTTGATTTAAAAATTAGTTTTGTGTAACATATTGCATTTATATTCTTTTCTAAAAAAGATTAAGTAAAATGATATTTGTTAGAGTTTTTTATAATGCAAAAGTCTTTTTATTTAATTATCAAAAACTTCATACTCTTTTTTTAAACTTTAATACTGAGAAAAAACGGGCACAAATCTCAGGAAATTTGGAAAGGGAAGGCAGAGTCCTTTTCTTGACTTCCATGTGATGTAAACTCAAAAATTTTAAACTAATAAAAGATGTTAGAATTCATGTTTACAATATTTTTAACTCGTGTTTTTCTTCTTTTTTTACTTTGTTTGTTTCTTTAAGTTTATGACCAAAAAATCATACAAAAAGAAAACAGTTTACAATTTTCATTTGCTTTTGCATTATTATCCAATTTGAAACATAAACTAAGACGTAGATACAAATATTAATGTATGAATGGTAATAAGAACAGTTCATTTTCCATTATTTACTGGGAATGAGCTTTTGAACTAAGTATTTCTTTTCTGTCTGGTCTTTTCAGGTTTTAAAATTAAGGGGGCAAAAAAAAAAAGAAAAAAAAAAAAGCAGTCTTAGTCTGGCGTAGATTTTTTAAAATAAAACTCTCGATTTCAAGAGTGATCACGCCAGTGGCATAGATAGATGGGGGCGAGGGGGGACATCAGTTCCCGGGTGCAGCATCCAAGTCCCTCTTTTCCAGGAGCAAAAATGGAAGGCTTATAAAACATTTTATTTCGAAAGCAACGGGCTGAGATAAGCTAAGCTAAACGGAGCGCCATACGTTAAGGAAAATAAGTAAATGTGAAAAACTATGATATTAGATATTCTGACATCTTAGTTTATCGTGTTTAATTTTTATTTTCATTGACAGATAGCTCTATGTTATCTATTTGTAAATTTTTGTCTAACACATTTTTACCCAACAGATGGGAGCAGTTGTATAGTGTATTCCAAATTCTCTTTTGTCACTCTTTTGGCCAATAGCTGGAGCCACATGTTCAGCTTTTAACAGCATTTTTCTCTGGCGAATTGTTTACCTCATAGCTCGAACAACTTAAACCTTGCCAACAGTTTAAAAATTGCTTCTATCCTCTCTTCACAGTTTACATCCCAAAATCATGAGAATAAAAGTTAAAATTTGTTTCGAAAGATAGGGCTCCGAGTTGAGGCACCTTGTCGTGTGCATGCTTTAATATACTAATGCCAAAATATAAATCATAAAAAGATTTAGTACTATTCGGTTTTGAGGGCCGTCAAAAATTGCCAAACTATTGTTAATGCCATTGCTGCCAAAAATAATTGCGGCAACCCTAACGCAAGAAAGGAAGTATAATGGTAAGTAACTATCTAAAGATTATTGTTTTAATTTAGATGAAAAGTTAATTTCATATAATACTTTTTTATCATTATAATTTATATAAAAAAGGCTAAACATGACTGAATGGAAGCATAAGAGTAAATAACTATTTCAGACAGTGGCGTAGCTAGGGAGGGGCAAGGGGGGACATCTGTCCCCATCCAAGGGGCGCCAAATTGATGCTACGAATTTTTTAATGAAAAGTTTTCCATTCTTGGCACACAGAAAGGAGCGCAAATTTTCAGTTGTCCCCGGGCGCTGGAAACTAGCTACGCCCCTGATTTCAGATCATTATTATAATTTATATAAAAATTGCTAAACATAACTGAATGGATGCCTACATCGCCATTTCGCTACCGAGTTATCGCTAAAGCATAATTTCATCTCGTTGGTTGTTCAAACATAATTTTCTATAATGAATGATACTTTTTCTTTGAAAAATTCTCGGTAAAGTGCAGAATCGCCCACTTATTTGTTTGCCGCTTTTTACAAGGGTAAAAACAATTGGATATTTGTCAATTTTCTTTTACTTTTTAAGTGAAAATAGGTCGATTTGTACATAGATAAAGTCAAGGGTGTGCGCAGTGCCATTTTTGGGCAATTCTGGGATTTTTTTTTAAGTGAAAATAGGCGGATGTGCACATGGATACCGAGTATGTGCAATTCTTAAAAACGCGTCAAGCAGTGAGTGATTCTGCAGTTCACCTAAAATTCTATTGTAGACTTTTCGTCATTTGCAATTCCCAAATTGTTAAATCCATAGGATATCAAAAAAAGGATTTAAAATCAGAAAAGGATTTAAAAACTAAACTAGTATTTCAATGATGTCTTAAGAAATATAGAACTATATACTATAAACTTGAGCAATTTGAAATCAGCACGTACGTTGATTTGGTGCTTTGTTAAATGGCTGCGTTTGCTAGATTTGGCGCTTTTGCGCATACATTTTCGCTGCAATTTTTTTACGGTCCTCAAAACTGAATAGTACCAATGAGTCATATTGCAAAACTTTTTTATTCCTGAAGGAAAAAACTCCACTTCTAATCGTCCTAGAAATTGAGAAAATTTTATTCAAAATATAGATTAAAGAATAATTTTTTACTCTTAATTTTAAATTTTACTTATTCTCTATATTTCTCTTTGAACTTGATTTCTTAAGCTAAGCTTGCTTGTTTGTAAAGATCTCATATCCCGATGAGTAGAATTTGTTTTCTTTAATCGAATATAAGTAGAAGAAGCAGTTAAGAATTCTTGTTGTGAATGTTATGTGTCTTTAACTCAACTCTGAACTGTCTTTCTGAATCTTCAGTAAATTTACATTAATTAATTTGCAACTCTGAATAAATGTCGCTTCTAATTCTTTTGGTTATTATTTTGAAGGTACTAAATTTTATTACTTATTATTTAAATTCAGTTATTTGATACGTAATTAGAAAGAACTTGATTAATAGAAAGCTTTTAAACATGTGCTTTAAACTGGAATATAATAAATTTAATTATACATTTAATTGAAAACTTAATACTTGGCTTGCAGACATATGTCACAATTCAATCATTGAAATCAAGTTCGTTATATAAGGCTTTTATACGCAAATCTTCTTTAATTAAACTGAGTTTTTAATTTAGCATTTATTTATTTGTTGCATTGTTTTTATTTATTGCATTGTAAGGTCTCGTTTAGTTTTTAACCAGTTATTTTACGCTAATGAAATTTCCTATCCTGCTCATTTCCGCTTTCCTGCCAGAATGTTAATTTCTAGCACGCATGATATTCAAATGAGGTAAAAAGAAGAAAGAATTAAAAGGTAGGTTTTAAAGGGCAGAATTAGAGTGATTTCTGCCTGCTGAAGGAAAGGTTGCTAATTTTGTATCTTCTGAGTCAAGTATTCTGCGGCGTTGCGTTACTCTCGCCATTAGACTTGTCACTCTGACCCTTAGGTCAGAGCCAACTTGAATTGTGTGGCTGTTTGTCTAACTTAATTACTTAGTTAAGTTAAATTTAATAATATTTGATTTAAACCATAACCGTTGGCTATATTTGTAAGCACTAGCGGTGTCTTCTATTAACTTCTATTTTAGTTAAATAACGGATGCTTTACACCTTTTTCTTGTCTCTGTGATGCTTATAAGACACACCTGTGATTTACTTTTCAGTCTTTAAACCGTTTCGAATATTTTATGCTTCCAAAAAATGCGAAATATTATTAACATACAACTGTGAAATACATTCTTGATAATTTTTTGTAACTGATACTTTTCTATGTTAAAATAGAAGTCATTAGAATATCTTTGCTAGCAATTGAATTTTTCATTTGAAAAAGTAACAGAAA